TCTAATGTGTTCATTAATAACATTTGCCACATCTTGTGTTGCTGTACCACATGTGTTCCAGTTTTCATATGTGGAAGGTATGGGGCTGTTCCAGAAGCCGTATCTGAAAGGGGCCGTGGTAGCCTGTAGTAGGGAGCTGTAAAACAATGCCAATGGTCTCTAGGTGCAGCCATTCAGGCCACTTCTTCTCTATGCTTCTGTCAGACTACAAAACAGAGCAGATTCAGTGTGTCATAGCAAACCTACAAACTGTGGTGGTAAACAGAGATATACAGTAATTGGTTCAGAGACTTGTCAACAGTCAGAAACATAGTGAGCCACAGGAGGCAGGCTGTCTGTATGAGCAATGCTGCTATAAGCTAGACTTTAAGTATCTGTTGCAATCCAGAGCAGGGAACGAGGCCCTAAGATAACTATCCACCACACTTGACTGTGAAAAACAATCCTTTTTTATTGAAGAAAAATGGTTACAAAATAAAGGAAAAATGCGAGTCAAAAGCCACAGCAAAATCAGCAAACATGAATTTAAATGGACAAAGCAAAACCAAAAGCCTCACTGGGAAATACTGGAATCTGTTAGCAATCCACTAACCGTACTTGATATCCTAGAAATCTTCCCAAACTATGGCCAGGGAACCGGGAGAACTGCCAAGGTCTTCATCAATTCTGAAACGATGCCTGAACTGAGAAAGTCAGCCCGGCGAAGGCAAATAAAGCCCAAGAATTGGTTCCATGAACCGCCCCTCTTCTTTGAAGCCAATGTTTTTAATTCTTGAATTCGGGAGGATCGACGCAAACTGAGTGATTTACTTCTGTCTTCCCAAATTTGGCCCCTTCTGTTGTCATTACAGTTAACAGGTGCAGAAGGGAGGGAAAGTTCAAGGTCTCCCTCTGAAACATTCTCATGAACACTGGTACTTTCATTTTCCAAATCTACAGAAGTTCCTTCCTCACTAATTTCAGGAACATTGGCATCAAAAGGTACATTTCCATTAGCATCAGTAAATATATTTTCATTAGCATCAGGAGGAACAAACAGAGAATCAGGTTCAATTTCAAACTCAGGCTGAACCCCAACAGTATCCCAGTGGTTTTCATCTCCTTCCACCTCTCTATTGAGCTGCTGACATTCTTGCTGTTGGAGCTTACAAGTTGTTGAGCTACACAAAGTCATCCTGCAGAATGGAAAAGGCTATGGTAATTCATTTGGTGGGGAGGGGGCAGGAAGAACAGAAGCACAAGAGATGTCATGTGCTTGGAGCTGCCAGTGTTTAAGTGGTCTCCTGTAGCTTTATCTTAGAGCCAGCCTGATGTAGATTCTGCTATTAATATGTACTGGAATGCCATGTCTGTTTCCTGCCTTAAAAGTCTCCCTCTCAAGGCATAAGTTCTTACTGAGTATCTCTTTTCTCATTCAAATTGTTCATAAGTGGAAGTTTCTCTTCTCTATAGAAACCTGACATTCAGAAAGGAGTAAATGTAGAGATGAAATAATCTATACATACACCTTGGATGACATTCTGTAAGTCAGGAGCCCCTGGTGGCACAATGGGTTAAACCCTTGCACTGGCAGGGCTGAAGAGCAACAGGTTGGAGGTTTGAATCTGGGGACAGCATGGATGAGCTCCCTCTGTCAGCTCCAGCTCCCTATACGGGGACAAGAGAGAATCCTCCCACAAGGATGGTAAAACATCAAAAACATCCAGGTGTCCCCTGGGCAATGTTCTTGCAGATGGCCAATTCTCTCACACCAGAAGCAACTTGTAGTTTCTCAAGTTGCTCCTGACATGAAAAAAATCCTGTAAGTTACATATCCAAGTGTTGTTCAGTGCGCTATTGTGTATGATCAATTGTTATTGTTGTGTGGGAGGGGGATGTTATTGTGGAGGTTCCTCCCTCTGCAATGACCAAATTCCTACCCTCATGGGAGGGGAACTGCTACAGTTCCCCTCTCATGGCTATTAAAGTGGCTGGCAAAGAGCAAGGAGGATGAGAGAAGCATTTGGCTATGTCTCTTTTGCAAGGTGTAGAGCAGGGGTCCACAAACTTTTTCAACAGAGGGCCAGGTCACAGTTCCTCAAACTGTTGGAGGGCCGGATTATAATTTGAAAAAAACATGAATGAATTCCTATGCATATCACATATCTTATTTGTAGTGCAAAAATCACTTAAAACAATACAATAATTAAAATGAAGAACAATTTAACAAATATAAACTTATTAGTATCTCAATGGGAAGTGTGGGCCTGCTTTTGGCTCATGAGATAGGATTGTTGTCGTTGTTGTTGTGTGCTTTCAAGTCGTTTCAGACTTAGGTTGACCCTGAGCGAGGGACGGGTAAATTATCTAGGAAGGCCGCATCCGGCCCCCGGGCCTTAGTTTGAGGACCCCTGGTGTAGAATGATAATGTTATCGGCTAAGAACTCCAGAGAGCCTCAGGAGGATCTCAGGGAATTATGTCCTCTAGCTATGTATGGCTTTGGGGACATAGCTAGACATTTCTCTTATCCCTTCTAGTCTTTATCAACCACTGAATGGCCATAAGAGCAACTGCAAGGTGTGAGTTGGCATGAGCAGAACAGAAGTAACAGAGTTCTAGCTATGGAAGTTCTGCATTACACTCTGCCATCAGGCCCCGATACCTTTAAGGTTGCTTAAAATCTGAATCTGTGTTCTCTGTTCATGAATTGCATTATATGTGTCCATTTGGAGAGCATGCCATAGTGGCTTGAGTGTTGGTCTGTGATCTAGAGTCCAGGATTCAAATCCTGTTTGGCCATGAAAACCAAATGAATGACCGCAGGCAAGTCAAACCCTTTCAGTCTCAGAGGAAACCAATGAACAAATTTTGCCAAGAAAACAAAATAATAGAATCACCTTAGGGTTGCCATCAGCCAGAAAAGATTTGAAGGAGCACCACCATATGTCCATTTGTCTCCACCAAGTGTCCTAAACTGAGATTGGGTTTCATATGAATCCACAGTTCTTAATTTAACATCATCTTGCCCTTTCTGCCTGCTGCTTGTCCCCAGAGGTAGTTTATAGTAAGTAACATCATTTTGAGCACTCAGGAGGGAGTGATTTTCAACAGAAAACCTCTGCAATAAATAATAAAAATCACCTAAGGGTTTTGTCCCTTAACCCAGGGATGCGAATCATGCAATCCTTGTGATATTGTTTGGACTGCAGTTTCCACCAATCTGACAAAGCATAATTCATAATGTGGAATAGTGATGTCTACAGTGTAATAACATTTGTAAGGCTGCATGATTCCCACCACTCTTTAAACAGGGGCTTGTTATACAGCAGTGGTTCCCAACCTTTTTTTTACTAGGGGCCACTTGACCAGCGACCACTTTGACAACATTAGTTCCAAAAGGGTTACAAATCGGTTTTGGTCAACTTTAGATTCGGTTTGGTTATTTGGGGTGCTGAGTCAGAAAATTGCATTGGATAGACCACATCAGCTCTAGTTTCTGATACAGAACATATGTCTTGCTTCCAGGAGCCGCGTGGAATAGCTCTGGTGGGTAGTCACCTCTCCCCTCTCGACATCCCCATTGCCTTGGCACTATAAGAGGGTTTCGTGAGACTAGTAGCTCTCATTGCAACTGTGATGTCTCGGCCTTGTATTATTTCCCTGGAGTTAGACTGTTCCATTCTACTAGAGTTTTAGAGTAGGAGTTTAGGATCCCCCTAGAGGCCGAGCTCAGTTGGTTCAGCCCATTCTGGCTCAGAGCTTGGCAGAAAGACTTTTTATTCCATTCTTTGTTAGTCTTAGCTTGTTGACAGTTGCCAGATAGTGTCTGGTCTGGCCTAGCAATTTGAACAGGCCATCCTAATCACGTATTTGCCATAGAATAATATGTATTTGCCTTATAGAAAGTTTATAGTTATACATTCCCCTATAGTTAATAGTTGTATTTGCCATGTTTCATACATAATACATGTAATAAAGAATAGTTATATTTGCTTTATAGATTATAGATCAGAATATACTTGCCATAGTTTATAGAATACCTCATAGAAATAGTAGTTTTTTTTACCTCAGAGTTATACCATCATAATCAATCTACACCTTTGTACATTGTTGTAATTTACCTTGATTATTTAGTAAACAATTGTTGAACTTAATCTTGGTTATAGAGTTTTATTTTGGGGAAATTATAGTAATTAGGGCATACTGATGGTCACTGGGAAAATAGCCAGACACATTTAGGTTTCTCTTTAGATTTTCCTGGTGTGCCATCATAGCAACGGTATTTTAGTTCTTGGGGACCACTGGTGGCTCATAGGCCACAGGTTGGGAACCACAGATATACAGCCATTTATGTATCCATCCATTGGTCACAACATAGAGATTATTACCAGTTGAATCCTTTACTGTACAATTGCTTCATTGTACAATTACTTTACCTTGTTCACAGACCTCTATGAGGGATTGCAATGACATTACCTTCCACTTGCACCTCTCTTGTATCTTCCCACCTCCTTCTTCCATTTTTGTTCTTATTAGAGAAATGAAAAGCCAACAAGAAGGGAAAGATGGTTTGTTTATTTTGTATGTGTTGAACATGGATTGGTTGGATCATGGATTTTATTGACAAAACATCTTTCACTTTGACTGGGGAATGTAGTGGAACTCTTGATGTGAGTCCAACCAACCGGCCCATATCAGGGTGTTGAGAAGAGCTGCCCTCTGCAGTGAGTATGCCTTGAGTTACCTGGGGGAAGAAACATCAGCTTCAGCAAGCTTTTCAGCCAGAAGTCAAGCAATGCATGATGGGAAGAACTATAGGAAGGACTCTAGAGTGGATTATGCAAATATGGAAGGAAGATGAGGAAGCTGAAAAAATGTAACAGAGATTAAAGCATTTTGTATCTTGGTGGAGGTTAGGGCAAGAGGAAAATACATCTTGTGTCATTATCAAGTTGGCATGCTTGAAGAGGGAGCTATTCTATCCAAAACTGATTTAATGATCCCTCTCTCTCATTCTCAGGTAGCCATGAGTGGTAGCATTTGGACCATGGGCATGGCATGGGCGCTGTTGCTGCTGGGGGCCACTGCTGGGGGCCTGGAGGATCGCTGCTTGCCTGGAGGGAAGCACAAGCCCAGTCCAAGCCCAGAAGAACAGCTGGGCGTCTGTCAGATCTATGCGGAGAGTGAGTATTGTGGGGGGTTCTGGTGGCAGTGCGTGGCAGAGTAAGGGGGCAGGTGGGTATGAAACTCTCAGAGCTGAAGGGCTTGAGGGAAACTGAGCACTGAATGCCACACTTTTCTATGACCCCCACAGACGTGTTGTCATAAAGAAGAGGTGGTAAAACAAATGCACCTATTCTGGATGAAATGTAAATAAAACCTCCTCACACACGTGCCAAAGCACTTTCTTCTACTCCACTGTTTAGCCATTCCCAACCATGATTCCCAAATGTTTGAGTATACTTCCCATCACTCACAACTGCCATAAGATTGTCATATCAGGATGGTGTCAGGTCATGAGGTTTCAGAGTCAAAACCTTGCACCTAGGGATGATCTCTTGCTAAATTTTCAGTAGCAGGAACCTTCCTGTGACCTACATCAAGGCCTCCTGTGACATAGATGATGTTATGAGGGGGAGATCTTGGTGATAGCATTAAGTATTGCATGTTAAGCATCAACCACAGTTACACAAATGTGCTAGTTAAATATTTTAAATATCAGCCAAATATATTTATGTATGCATACATTCTTTACTTGTGGTTCTATTCCATGAATACTGGCTTGACCCCTCACAACCCCTTTTACCAGGCAGTAGCTACTGCAATTGATGGGGCCCGTTTCTGTCACCGATTAAGTAGCTACCTGCTTTATTTTTCTATCCCGCCTCCATCTCCCCAAAGAGACTTGGGGCGGCTTACATGGGGCCAAGCCCAGGCAACATACAATTAAAAGCAGAGCAATAACAAATTACAATTTAAATAGAATAAAACAGCATAACAGTAATAGACAACCATCAAGCAACAAAAGACTAATTTTGAGGTGGGGGGGAGGCCAATATACGAGCTGATTAAAGGATAATTGGTTCGATAAGGTGGAAGAAAACGTATAATAGCATAGGAAATATCATGAAAACAGATAAATTCAACAGGATCAGAATCAATTCAACAGGATCAGAATCAATACATACTTGTGACTGTTACGTATTCACAACCCCCACATAGGGGCAATGTAAGGACTGTGAATACGTAACTGTCACAAGTATGTAACTCCAGGTTGCACAGTCATAACTGCCATATAGGATTGCAGCCCCCAAATCCAGCAAATGATGAAAACATAGATACATACACCTTCCAAGGCATTGCTCTCACTCAGAGATTCTTTTTCCTTACTCTGAGACCTGGCAACCCAAGCCATGACCAACAGATGGGTGATGGGAAGTGCAATCCAACAACACCAGCGTCCTGAAGTCAGGAAAGCCTACTGATTAGATGTATTCCTTTTTTACATGCACGATTATGGCTACACGGGAAAGCCCACTTCCTTAGAACACTTGGAGGAAACTACACAGGTTAAAACTGTGCAAATGATGGGAACAAGGGATGTTTAAACAGCAGAACTTTCTTTCTTGCTGACAATGCAGATCTCCAAGACAGTGTGCCAGCAGAACATTACACCCTCCCAGTGTCAAAGAGGATCTCAACCCCTGTGTCTGACTTCTGTTAAGGAACAGGGTCAGCAAAATAGCTGACAAACGTATGATACAGAGTGGGAAAATGAGGCCAAACTGGGACCTCCTGTATTGCAGAGTGCTATAAAGGAGTTCACTAGCCAGCTTGCATTTCCAAGCCTTCATATTAAGACCTAACAGTTACACATAGACCTATTGTGTCCGTGAAATAAAAGGATGAGAAATACATTCAGAAATAGATCTGCTGACAGAAGGATTCTTTCCACAGATGCATGTTGCTCACCAGACATAGTCCAGGACCTTTCCAAAGCCAATGACATCTACTGGAACCGCTGTGGACACCTCAGCAACAGGTCAGATGCAGTAAAAGACAACCATGCCTGTAATAGCCATATAGATCTGTTTTCCTATAGGACTGTGAAATTGAGTATGGCTAGCCAGTTTTGCTTTTGAACTCCTCCATCACCAGTCTTGAAGATGGCCAAACAAGAGGAAGCTAGCCTGGCCTGTGGCATTTTGTTGCCTGAGGTGGAGCAGACAATGATGTTCTCTAGCTACCAAACTCTAAATCAGGGGTCCTCAAACTAAGGCCCAGCCTTCCAAGGTAATTTACCCGGCCCTCACTCAGGGTCAACCTAAATCTGAAATGACCTGAAAGCACACAACAACAACAATCCTATCTCATCAGCCATAATCCGGCCTTCCAACAGGTTGAGGGACTGTGATCCAGCCCTCTGTTTAAAAAGTTTGAGGACCCCTGCTCTAAATGAATAGTACCCAAGGCCAACCAAATTATTTGGGCACTTGAGCAGAAAACAAGTTCCTCTCTTCAACTCTGTCAGGGAAAATATGGCGATAAGAAATTATATTTGCAATTGTTTACAGCCATTTCATGATACCCAAAATATGTTGCCTTGAGCACCTGTGGCACAGCAGGTTAAACCGCTGAGCTTCTGAACTTGCTGACCGAAAGGTTGGCAGTTCGAATCCAGGGAGCGGGGTGAGCTCCTGCTATTAGGCCCAACTTCTTCCAACCTAGCAGTTAGAAAACATGCAAATGTGAGTAGATCAATAGGTACCACCTCTGCAGAAAGGTAATGGCACTCCATGCTGTCATGCTGGCCACATGACCTTGGAGGTGTCGACAGGCAATGCTGGCTCTTCAGCTTAGAAATAGAGGTGAGCACCACCCCAAAGAGTCGGACATGATGAGACTTAATGTCAGAGGAAACCTTTACCTTTACCCACCTACATCACTTTGCCTAATCATAAAGCTGGTCCCAGATAAACAGTTCTGCTTCTTACTGATTTTTTTTCTCTTTGTTCAATCTTTAAAAAAAAAAAAGTACTGTTAGGATTTCTGTACTGTAGACATGGCTCTCGTCTTTTTTAAAAATAAAACCTTCTGCCCTCCTGGTGTCAATATTGCCCAAATCCTATTGGTAACTTGTGCTCACATTGCACAAAGAGGTACCTTATTTAAACACCAGCCATACAATTTTTAATCAGACTGTTGAGTTGCACTCTTTGCTACTTACTGGCTGCAGGGCATTATCCAGCTGCAGCTGATTATATACCTGAAAAAATAGAAGCAGACATTGTCCTTGTCCAGAATGTATGTGCGAAGGCTGTTCTTTCTTTGCTCGCTGTACAATGGCAGAGCATCAGCACCCACATTCATAGCCACAGCTAACCAATAGCTGAGGAGTTGAGCTTTGCCTGGGCATTATTTAGCTACTGTTAGAAACTGGTAATAAAGGAGCATATTTTGTTCCTGGAGCCATCAAAGTCAGGGCACGGGCAGTTTTACACTGTGCCACCAACCCTATAGGCCATTTACTCCCACTGCTGCTACTCTTTCCTTCCCCTCAGCAGATGTGAGAAGTATCTGGAGCAAGTGGAATGTTTCTACCGCTGTTCGCCCATTGCTGCTCAGTGGCCTCACCCTCAAAGACCCACGGCATTGCTGGCAGTGCCCCTCTGCCAGAGTTTCTGTGACAGATGGTGAGTAAAGCCTCTTTGTGTGGAAAAAGGGCAATGGGTAGAAGAAATATGGAAAGCTACCATCTCCTAGAGGCAGCAGAACTGAGGACTGTCAGTTGCATTCTATTTATGTAAGTTCAGGTGAAGAAAGATATAAGGACTCATTCAACTAGGTGTGTGTTTCTGCATTTTCTTCCATGGGAAGTAAGTTATACTGAAAAAAGTGGGACTCACTTCTGGATAATCATGCATAGGATTATGTTACAGAACAAATGCAGTTTTTAAAATCTAAAAAGAGTGAAAGGCATACAAAAGTGCCCCTTACATGCCTGCTCCTTAAAAAGGCTCATTATAAATTCAGAAGAACCAATGTCATCTTCCATATCACTTCAATGTTTTAGCTAGAGCAGTGGTTCCCAACCTTTTTTTTTATTACCAGGGACCACTTTGACTACTTTGACTAATTTGGTACATTAGTACCAAAAGGGTTACGAATCAGTTTTTGGTCAACTTTAGATTCGGTCTGATTATTTGGGGTGCAGATTCAGAAAATTGCATTGGATAGACCACATCAGCTGTAGTTTCTGATACAGAACATATGTCATCCAGTAGTCACCATCTGCTCACCCACATAAAATCATATTTAATCATCTAGAGCTGATGTGGTATTAATCTTTAGTGGGTAGTCAGCCTCTCCCCTCCTGACATCTCTGTTGCCTCGTCACTATAAGAGGGTTTCGTGAGACCAGTCGCTCTCATTGCCGTGTGCTTTTGAGGCAACAATATAGTAACGATGAGGCCGCAGACCATATTTTCGTTCTTGTGGACCACTGGTGGTCCATAGACCACAGGTTGGGAACAACGGTGTAGTAATTGTGAGGCTGCGGACCATATTTTCATTATTGTGGACCACTGGTGCTCCACAGACCACAGTTTGGGAACTACTGAGCTAGAGAAACAATCTTCACCATTGTATTATCTTTATGAACATTCTGGAACACATACATAAACCGTATGTGGAGAAGTCTATTGTAGAGTTCAGAAGCTGGCCTTGCCTATAAGATTTCTGAAAAATATTATTATCTCTCAAAACCAACCCCTCCACCTGTCTGCTAGAATAAGCAAAATGCTGCTTCTGGTAAAAGCAAAAGAGATCATCATATCAGCAACTAGTGTAAGAAAATATAAACGGCAGGGGTAAAGAAGTGATATCATATAGTGTATAGAGAGCTGAGACCCTCTCATTGACTGCAAAGGTTTTTTGGATGAGGGAGGAGGTGCAACTCTTCACATAAGCCTTATTTAGGTGTTCTGAAAGTGAAATGAATTAAATAAATATGAGTAAGGTAACCCTGCATTATCTCAAAGAATTCCCATTGCCCATGAGAGAGAGCACAGGATAGCATGTTTCCCACGTACTCATAGAGCAAGGATGGGTTGCAGTTGTGGATATTTTTAAAAAGTATTACTGCCCCCAAATATACCCAAATGCCTTCTAGAAACATTTTTGTCACATTAGGCACACGTGGAGATGTTGCTCCCTGTACCCCCAGAACAGTAGTGTCAAACTTGCGGACTCGCCGGGTGTTTTGGACTTTGTCTCCCAGAACTCCTGGCTAGGGCCTCTGGAAGTTGGAGGCCCAAACATCCAGAGGGTTACAAGTTTGACACTTCCACCCTATATGATGTTTAGAGGGTTTGGTGATTTTAAAAAATATGTGAAGGAAATGCAATAGGGATATTACTTTCCAGTATTTACAGTTGCACACACCCAATATACAGGGTCATTTCTGATGTGGAGAGCTTTCTGTGTCAATTGAGGCTATCTCTCTGGTTTTCAAGACAAAGTTCAAAGCATTCCAAATTGTATTGAGAGCCTTTGTGGATATGTCAAGAAGTTCAGCCTTCATATGAACAGAGTAAAAGAATTTGAGACAAAGGTGTTGAATTGTATATGTTCCTCCTCCACACATCTCTATTTTTCTCACTTTCAGAATGCCCGAAAAGGGCTTACCAATACAACTCACTGTGTGGCCTTGGGCCAGATGCTGCTGCCCAGCCTGACCTACTTGAGACAGTTGTAGGAGGCAACCAACTTAAGTTCTCTGGAGGAAAGACAGGATATAAATGTGATAATACAATGATAATTCGGGTGTCTACATTATTGCCCCTTCTTATCATTTCCTCAGGTATGATGCTTGCAAAGATGACCTTACCTGTGCTCGGAACTGGCTTACAGATTGGCACTGGGGTCCTGATGGAAATAACTGCAGTCAAGACTGTATCTCCTATGGCCAGGTGAGGGTAGGATTAAGGGAAGCTGATGGTTCATGGTGTTTCAAGCTCTTGTTCACAAGGAATGGTGGTAGAGGTTGGAATCCTACAGGATTATGCCCATCATTATAACTTTTGTTTTTATTGCCACTTGTGTTATGCATCATAGTTTCTCTTCAGTTTGCCCAACAGGCTATCCCATCTCTTCAGTTGATATGGCAGACAATTGGCATTAAGATTTGAAGAACATGCAGTATGTACCTTCAGGTCACTTGTTGAATTACTGCAGCCAAATGCAGCTGCAGTGGCACAATGATATGAAGGTCAGGGGTTCAAATCCCCGAGACTGGGTGAGCTCCCATCTGTCAGCCCCAGCTTCCCATGCAGAGACATGAGAGAAGCCTCCCACAGGACTGGTAACACATTCATGTTTTCCCCTGGCAACGTCTCTGTAGAAAGCTGATTCTCTCACACCAGAAAAACTTGCAGTATATTCTCAATTTGCTTCTGATGAAAGAATTATTATTATTATTATTATTATTATTATTATTATTATTATTATTTCACAGGGTTTTCTTCTGTGGTGGTTTTGTCAATTCCCTCCTTTGAAATCTAACCCACAGTAGATGGTATTCGTTGGCATTCCCACATCCGAGTACTAACCAGGGTCGACCCTGCTTAGTTTCCAAGATTAAACAGGTTCAGTGCTTTTAGGATATTTAGGCGCAGGGTAGAATATACCATACATGTATGGATTCAACTTTATCCTGTTAGCATAATTTTAGAAATTTGAAGTTTCCAAACATTTAATGACATTGAATGGTCTTGTAAATCTGAGGATCAGAGGGAAACAGTGAGGGTTTGAAGGCAGAACACAGTGTTCTCAGCGTTTTCGCTCTGATCAGCAGAACTACACTTCAAAGGTCTAAAGTTATGCTGACAGAATAAAGATCAAACCATACATAATGTCTAAAATTTACTGAAAAAATAACCACATGCAAATACTTCCTCTCTTGTGTTGTTTATATGAAAACATTTGTTCTGTAGCTTTTCTTAAATGGTTCTCTCTGAACGAATCGCATTGATGCCAGATTAGGGTTTATGCTATCATGCTCAATCCCTGTAATTGTTCAGAATATTATTTGCAGACACTGTTGTTTAAAATGCAGTGAATTGATTTATAGAAAGGAGGTGAGGAATCTCTGGCCATCAGAGATGATATCTGAATGGTCCATATGTGGTCCTCAAGAGAATGATGAAAGAAGCCTATGTGGGGAAGGACAGATATATATAAGTGGAGGAAGAGGCCACCATAATGTAAAGTTGTCGATCACATAAACATCCTCTCTCAAAAAGGTTCTTTGACAAGAATTCCCATCAATTCCAGTCACTGACTGTGTATCTTGGACTTAGGAGAATCAGAGTTCTTCAGTATCCGAAGGCCACAAGTTTCCCATCTGATTGGTATAAATGAGTACTGGTACGTCACTTTTTAGCCCACACACAAAAGATGAGGCTGACAAGACTATCTCCTACAACCGCCACTTTGCTGCCCCAGTGCTCAGTTTGGTGCTATGTATAGCCATGACGTGAGTCGCCCACGCTCTGGATGAGGAACCTGCTGTGACTTCTGTTTAAATGTTACAGGTGACATCACCCTTGAGTACTGTCTGTTGGCAGCCTTGCTGAGTTAAGAGTCTTAGGCTGTGATTCTCTCCTGATCTCTTGTCTTACAAACAGAAATAACCAGTTGCGTGCTTTGTCCCCAGGGTTAGGAGAGATGGCAGTCTCCCATATTATGTAATTTGACATGGCACGCCTCGGCCTCTTCCATTAGAGGACAGGCAAATTCTCCCTGAATGCTGTTGGCTTGGCGCTGAGTCAGTCTGCTTGCCCCTTGGGCAGCTCATTTGGTTAACGTCCAGAAAAACAACAATGCAAATATGCAGACAGCAACAGTTGGGCTGAGAGCTTGTGAAAAGAAAAAAATGACAGCATACAGTTGTCATTGTCAAACAGGCCTGAGACTATGTGCAAGTCTCAGGCCTGTTTGTACATTAAGGTAAAGGTTTCCCATGACATTAAATCTAGTCATGTACAACTCTGGAGGATGGTGTACATCTCCATTTCTAAGTCGAAGAGCCAGCATTGTCAGTAGACGCCTCCAAGGTCATGTGACCAGCATGACTGCATGGAGTGCCGTTACCTTCCTGCCAAAATTGTACCCATTGATCTACTCACTCTTCCATGTTTTTGAACTGCTAGGTTGGCAGAAGCTGGGCTTAACAACAGGAGCTCACCTCGCTCCCTGAATTCGAACTGCCAACTCTTCAGTCAGCAAGTTCAGCAGCTCAGCGGTTTAACCCACTGCACCATTGTACATGACTTTTTTTTTACTGTGAATGACAGCAAAGTTTACTGGAAATATGTTATGACTAATAGTGTTTTCAGTTGGTAGTGCTATCAATTTTCATCCCTTCCCTTCTTTTTGACACCACAATTTATAAAACGGGGAAGACCATTAATCTTGAGTAAAGTACCACAGCATTCTTACAGAAACATATAAAAGATTTCCTTCTTGTACATCAATTGGTGGGGGTATGGTAAGAGGGTACAGGCTGAAAATCTCCTATCTGAAATGCTTGGGACCAGAACATGCTTTGGATTGAGTTGCTGTAAGTCTTACAGGTTGTATGGCCATGTTCCAGAAGCATTCTCTCCTGAAGTTTCATCTGGATCTATGGCAGGCATCCTCAGAGGCTGTGAGGTCAACCTTTGAGGATGCCTGCCATAGATGCAGGCAAAATGTCAGGAGTGAATGCTTCTGGAATGTAGCTCTACAGCCGGGAAGACTTACAGCAACCCAGTGAAAACCTTCGACAATATAGTGGTTTGGGTTTTTTCAAAATGTTGGAATACCTGCATACATAATGACAAAATATCTTTATTGATTGGGTGGAAGAGGGCATTCCAGAAGGTGTTGCTCCTCACACAACCAGCTAACTAACAACACCTGCTGAAATTTCCTCTTCCACACAACCAGTAAAGATATAGGAGCCCTCTCCAGTTTTCACTCTTGACAACCCTACCGTCCACTTATGACACAGCTCTCTTCTCCCAACACATTGCCTGCAAATGCCTACAGCAGGACCAGCCCACGGAAGGCTTTAACTGGAGGTAGGAAATAACCATTCTGTGGACTCAGCTCTTTAAGCCATCAGAACCTACACTGTCATGCAAAGTTTGACACGTCCGTTCTCATTCTGTCCCAGGGAAGACGGACTTACTACAGTAACACGCACTCTCTCACTTTTTACAGATGTACCAGAATGGGAAGGAGTTATGTGAGACCATCTGGGATGATACTTTCACTGTCAGCACAGATCCCTGTGAGTGCTTGACGCTGACTGCCTCTGATACAGTCTTCTCAGCTTCTTATCCGCACCTCAAGGACAACACAGAGGAGCCTGAGATCGCCAAGGCAAAAGGGAGCCAAAAGGAAGGCCGCCTTGGCCCCGGCAGGCTCTGCACAGGCAACCGGCTGCTCCAGCGCCTGCGGAGGAACATGCAGAAGCGCTCCGTCTTCATGGAGGATGTGGAGGGGAGCGGGAGTGGGTTCTGACCAAAGATAGCCATCCTTCCAGGGAAAAAATGACCCCCTTCCCTGTCATCACCCGGGGCCTGTGGGGGGATCGCTTGGGATCTATGCAAATCCACCATGTCTCATGTTACCAGCTTTTCATTGTATAGCTCTGTGCAACTTGGTGTGGCCATGTCCTAGGAAGCTGACCAGGCACCTTAGCAGGGCTCTTGAGTCTGATGCCTTTAGCAATAGAGTTTCCCTCCACCAGGACACCCCCTTTTCCTTTGGAAACCAGCTCAGGGTCACTGCTTTCCTAAAGCTTTGTAGAAGTGAAACAATACATGGTTAGAGATCAGTTAGTGGTGACAACTCCACCCCTTGCTCCTTTCCAGCTGCTCCTCTCCCTACAAACCTGCTGCCATGCCTCTGAGAGGTCACCTAACGGGAGCATCTACTAGTTCCCCTCTAACAAAGAAACAGCCATGGAGATGGTTATGCTCCAAAGGAACTTTCAAGAGTGGAAACCTGGGTTGAAATGAAATGATGAATTCAGACAATAGCTATGGCTACAGACATGATTGCCAGCATGACTGAACTAAAATGGTTGGGCTGCCACTGGTAAACGGGGGCAGGAGGCACCAGAAAAAAACCACTGGTCACTAGGTTGGGTTAGACTGGCGCAGTTATGGGTGGCACCCAACAATGCTGTGGTTACTTGGCAAAGAATAGCTGCTATACTATTGAATTTCATTTTTATGCAATCTAGTAGGGGCCAGGGACAGTGGAAAACCGATTGAGTGATAGTATGAAGAGAGACTGCACATAATTTTAATAATGCAGTATATATATTTCTTATTCAGCTAAGCATCTAATTTTGGTGAGAGGGAGTGAGAGAATTCGAGTCCTCATGTCTGTGCTGTCTATCCCAGGAATGGGCAAACTTTGGCCCTCCAGATGTTTTGGACTTCCAACTCCCACAGTTCCTAATAGCAGGTAAGCTGGCTGGGATTTCTGGGAGTTGAAATCCAAAATACCTGGAGAGTCAAAGTTTGCCCATGTCTGGTCTATATCTTTATGTAGCACAGTGGTTCTCAACCTGTGGGTCCCCAGATGTTTTGGCCTTCAACTCCCAGAAATCCTAACAGCTGATAAACTGGCTGGGATTTCTGAGAGTTGTAGGCCAAAACACCTGGGGACCCACAGGTTGAGAACCACTGGGCTAGCACTTCTTGACAAAAGAAATCTCCCCCAGGTATTCCGGTGTAGTCACTGATCATTCTCCTCTTCAAAACAAACACACATTCCCTGCTTTCTCAGATGCCTTTTTATGCCCTTGCTTTTTCACCATGTTCACATGAAATAGCACATTACGTTCTGTTTCAAACCTACCTGTACTTGTGAGAAAAATAAAAAATGTGTGCGTGTTAAAAGAATTTGTAAGTAAATCAGTAGACTGGTGTGATCCCCTTTCGTCAGTTTGCAGAAACAGCAGCTGTTCATCCAAAGGCTCCTTTTCCCACCTTTATACATTCTGGACAGAATGGCAAAACAGATTTATTACTGATGGTTTTTCTATTCATAGTGCAAAAGATTGGTTCTTAAATATTAATGTGATATTCCAAATGATATAAAAGTATTTGGGATCAATTAGGACCTCACTACCTCTGAGGATACTTGCCATAGATGCAGGCGAAACATCAGGAGAGAATGCCTCTAGAACATGGCCTTATAGCCCGAAAAAACCTACAACAAAATCTCAAAATCATCTCCTTAGCCACTGTTTCATTTCATTCCTCTTTTCCCAACCCAGCCTGCTCTTGGCCATGTCTGCATTATAAATGCAACCAGCCCATTGTAGCTGCTGAAGAAGTAGATCATTTTCTAACCCTACCAAATAGTAGTATTGCCTGATAGGGCTTCTGCTTAAAGAGAAGAAGTATGGAATGGGTCTATGGAAAGAGACAGGCAGTTCAAGCAGATGGAAAAAGTGAGGAGTGGGCAGAGAACAAACAGAAAAGAGTCGTGTTTAGCCGATTCAAGAGAAGCATTGATAAGGAAGGTCTGAAAGCAGCCTTGGGCCATGTGCTCTTCTCCAGATAGTGTTGGAATGCAACTCCTCTCCACTTTAATTGGCAAAAACAGTAACAAGGGTTGTGAGGAGTCCAACAACATTTGGAGCACTGCGCTTTGCCCAACTCTATCTCAAAGGAAAACAAGTGGTTTGAAAGAAAAGGGCTGGGGGAGGCCCTGTCAAGCAGAGAGGAAGAGAGAAACAGAAGGAGGTGGACTGAGTGCAAAAGAGTAGACCCAAAACCCAGGAAATTAGAAGGGATGAGATGGAACTTGTAAATGGAAAAGAGATTACTGGCCAGAGATATAAATTAGTCATCTGAGAAGTAGAAGTGAGGGGACTCCCCACCACAGAGGCAATTTAACCTAACTTCCACATAGAAGTGTTAACCAGCTCTCAGGATTTATACATTGCTTCAGATTATTCAAGCTGTTTTACTTACTCTTTTAAATCATTGTGCCAGCTGGACTGCTGACCAAAAGGTTGGCATTCGAATCTGGGGAGCAGGGTGAGCTCTCATCTGTTAGCTCCAGCTTCTCCTTCAGGGACATAAGAGAAGCCTCCCACAGGATGGTAAGACGCCTGGGCGTCTCCTGGGCAACGTCCTTGTAGACGGCCAATTCTCTCACACCAGAAGCAACTTGCTGTTTCTCAAGTCGCTTCTGACATTAAAAAAAATCTCAGAAACTCCTAGGTACACTTCACCCCCCACAAACTGATTTTCAGAAGCTATTTAACAGATCAATTCTAAAACGAGATTTCAAGAGGACTTTCCAATTCACCCTTTTGGCCAGTGCACTGGACTGGTATTTTACAGCATCAGGACATATACTAAAGAGGTTGGGTGACATTTCTTCCTTTCATTTGGAAGCATCAGAATGGACACAGTTCAAGATAGAACACTTGGCAGAGATTAATGGTAGCATAGAAACAATAAACCATTCTTAACAGAAGAGGCTTTGTTATCGGCACTTTCACTGGCAGCCTCAAAAACACAGACATTCAGGTCATAGCTATTTCCAAGCCAAGAATACGACAGAGGTTCCATGTTGTGCGTACGGTGAATCTTCTAACCACATTGGGGCAAATAGAAAACCATTTTCCTCAGGCAAAACCACCTCTGTGTCTCCCTTATCCAAGAAAACTGTATGAAATTCATGAGTCACTGTAAGTCAATAGGCAATTTGAAAGCATAAACACACTTTAGAATTGTGCGTAAAGCACTTCTCCCTATTTAAGATATTATTTCATTTGAATAAACATGTAATCCTTCACTTATGGCGTATATACCTTCTGCCATCAATTCTTGTGACCACAAACCTTTGAATATTTAACTTTTTTTCAATATACAGAATCACAATTTGTGGAAATATTAATAATAATAATAATACTTTTTAATAACTCACTCTATCTCCCTGAGTTTCCATCAATGTAACAAACAATGCCAAAACAAGCAAGTATTAAATAAATCAAATACAATAAGACAACCTAAAACTATGTAAGACTGGCCAAAGAGTAACAAATTAAAACATAGAAAAACATAATATATCAAAGCTCCAGGGCATGTGATTCTCTCTTATGATGAGGTCTGGCCTACAAACACACTTTGTTTTGCCCCATCAAGGGCTTGTTCTTAAAATCCAGCCATTTCTGGTTGTACAGGATGTGCATGTTGACTATGGTCTAGGAATGGACCTTCTGGCTTTGTTCACACCAACTTACAGATCTGCATGGCCTTCCCGTGCCTCAGCCCTTTTGACCAGAATTTGTTATGCACCAGTAATATTAGCAGCTAATTTATACACTCTCAGTTGTTGGTGTTTTTAAATTTTTACTAAAAAGAAGTAAAAAAAAAAAAGTACAAAGGCCTCCAGAAAGAGAAAAGCTCGACAAGTCCATTTCTGTCTGTTGATGCCACCACACACAGGTTCCCTGCATAGTCCTAGCTCAAAGAATTACAGCCTCCAGTTAAAAACACAGGGACAATCCAGAAAGTTTCCTGTGCAATCCAAGAAAGATGATGCCAACATGAAGGGAATCAAGCTGCTGCCCCCTACAGGCTAGTCACGGTCTCCAGCTTGCGTTCATAAAAGAAGCGGTGGGCAGGGCGCTGGGTGGGAGTGTCCTTCCGGGCAAAGTAGCTCAGCAGGGACTTAGCATTCTTCTGGGATGGGTCGTCTTCAGTATCATCCCTGGAGAAAGAGAGCCAAAAACATGGGGAGAAATGAAGATTTAGATGGGGAAGCTTAAATCAGAACTTTCCATAATTCAGGTTGCTGTGAGTGGTCCAAGCTGTATGGCCTTGTTCCAGAAACATTCTCTCCTGATGTTTCGCCCACATCTATGGCAGGCATCCTCAGAGATTAAGGGGTCTGTTGGAAACTAGGCAAGTGGGCGTTATATATCTATGGAATGTCCAAGGTGGGAGGAAAAACTCATCTGCTTGAGGAAGGTGTGAATGTTGCAATTGGCCACCTTGATTAGCACTGAATGGCCTTGCAGTTTCAAAGCCTTGCTGGTTGCTGCCTGGGGGAATCCTTTGTTGGGAGGTGTTAGCTGGCCCTGATTGATTCTTGTCTGGAATTCCTCTGCTTTTTGAGTGTTGCTCTTTATTTACTGTCCCAATTTTAGAGGATTTTAAAAAAATACTGACAGCCAGATTTTGTTCATTTTGAGCGAAACGTCAGGAGAGAATGCTTCTGGAATATGGCCATACAGCCCAGAAAACTCACAGCAACCTAGTGATTCCAGCCATGAAAGCCTTTGACAACACATTTTCCACAATTCCTTTTTTTGGACTGCAAATGGCTGCTAGGCATGTTGGCTCAAGGCATTTCAAAAGTCGCTTTTCTAATCTCTGCAATTTCTCCCACCCTGCCCTGCATCTTGACTCTTTCAGAGTTACATCCATGTCTTGAGCTCTACTCTTCTCTAATTGTTGCAATCACTGGCCTTCACTACATTCTAACAGCCCAGATAGAAAATTTGCTACGGAGGTTTGCTTCTCTTAACAAGATAGTACAGAAAAGCTTTTCACATCTAAATAGGACAGAGGTCACGGGCTACATCTCCAGCTCCTCCTGTGGCATCCTGCCTGTCTGCAGAAGTCAGTTTGAGAAGTAAGGCAACAAGAACACTGGCAGTTTGGGACTGAATGGGGCACCGGGCTACTCATTTGAATCCCCAGAATCAACAAGGGGAGTCACAGCCATCCTTTGATGCCAGCGCTTTCTGCTGGAACACTGCAGTGCTTTGCACAGTCCACATCCACAATGAATAAAGCATGGAGGGGTTAAAAGAAAAAGAAGCCCCAAAGGGATAGTTTGGGGAGAAACCAATTTTCTAGCTCAGAGCTGATACAAAAATGAAAGAAAACAGCCCTGCAAACACTTGACAGATCCAAGCACCTCAAATAACCCTTCACCAGGCTCCAGATTTTAGAAAAGTCATTATTTTGGTTGGAAACTCTCAGAATGTTGTGGAAGGTTTTCGTGGACGGAATCACTGGTTTGCTGTGTGTTTTCCAGGCTGCATGGCTATGTTCCAGAAGCATTCTCTCCTGATGTTTCACCCACATCTATGGCAGGCATCCTCAGAAGTTGTGAGGTCTATTGGAAACTAGGCAAGTGGGGTTTATATATTTGTGGGATGTCCAGGGTGGGAGAAAGAACTCTTGTCTGCTGGAGGCAGGCGTGAGTGTTGAAATTGGCCACCTTGGTTAGCATTCAGCTTCAAGATCTGGCTGTTTAGTGCCTGGGGGAATCCTTTGTTGGGAGGTGTTAGCTGGCCCAACAAAGGATTCCCCCAGGCAGTAAACAGCCAGATCTTGAAGCTACAAGGCCAATCAACGCTAATCAAGGTGGCCAATTGAAACATTCACACCTGTCTCAAGCAGACAAGTGTTCTTTCTCCCATCCTGGTCAAGCCACAGGTATATAAATCCCATTTTCCTAGTTTCCAACATTCCTCACAACCTCTGAGGATGCCTGCTGTAGATGCAAGCAAAACGTCAGGAGAAAACGCTTATGGAGCATGGCATGCAGCCCGGAAAACTCACAGCAACCCAACTCTCAGAGGACCTAAGCCATCATGGCCAGTAGGTATTTCTGCTGCCAATATACTCAGTACCCTGCCTCACTGTTAAAAGTATTGTGCTGTGTTTTCCATGCCATCCACAGCCTCAATTGCTGCTTAATGAAGTCTGTTCCCTTCTGTGCACCCAAAACTCCCAAAGGCAAGCCCGGCTGATCATGGTTTGAAGCAGCTGCTTCCTTGTCAGTTCCGAATTCCCTTGATTTCCCACTCCAAGCAATCTCTCTCCACCATCCCATGATCTGGCAGCTCTTCCCTTTCCACTCACCAGCGAACAGCCACGGCTTTGTTCTCCAGGATGACCTGAGCTGTACTCCAACTGAATCGCACAAACTGGGGGAAGCCAAATACAGGGTCCAAAATTTGTGTGAGCCACTCTTTAGTCTTGGGGTCTGGAGAAGCAATAAGGGGAAAAAAATGACAGATGGCAAAAAAAAAACAAAAACCCTTAGGATTAGTTTTTGCAGTTGTCCCTATTTCTAAGGTGGAATCTCTGCTTAGATTCCAATGTTGTTCTGATAGCTCTGCAAGAACAGAGGTCATGGCAAATAAGAGAATGGAATTTAAAATGCCTCCAAGTTCTAGTTGTGTCTGCTCCTGTATTCACAATTTCTTCAATTCTTCATGATCTTGGAGGAATCTGATTATATGGATCCGGAGCAGTCTGGCTTCAGGCCGGGTCATGGAACTGAAACAGCCTTGGTTGCCTTAGTAGATGATCTGTGTAGGGAACTGGACAGGGGGAGTGTGCCCCTGTTGGTTCTCCTGGACATCTCAGCAGCCTTTGATACCCCATCTCGAAAGTTAAGATTATCCAGGGAGGCCCTGCTCTCGGTCCCACCTCCTTTGTAAGTGCGACTGTTGGTGACGAGAGAGAGGGCCTTCTCAGTGATGGCCCTTGGCTCTGGAACTCCCTCCCCAACGAAATTAGATCAGCACCCTCCCTCTTGGCCTTCAGAAAGAGAGCAAAAACACAGATGTGGGACCAAGCATTTGTGCAGTAGGCAATACAAGGAACAAACAGGGATTATGTGCAATTGATATTTGATATTGATATAGCCTTGGACCATGATTTTTGGATTATGTGATTTTAGTGTGTTGATGTTTACATATTGTTACGTTTTTATGATCTAATCAATAGTTCTATGTTAGGTTTTCATATGATTGTGAGGCATTAAATTTTGCAGTGAATATGTTGGAAACCGCTTTGAGTCTCCCCTGGGGTGAGAAAAGCAGTATACAAATGAAGTAAGTAAATAAATAAATATGTCACTTTACAAGTGAATTGCAGAAGCAAGAAATTCATGCCTAGGAGTGAACCCATGGCATCTATGGAATAAGAATTGGTCTGGCTCTTACAGTTGGGAATATCCTATGGGGAAAAGTCTATGTCAGCTATTGTTCCCTAGCAGCTGATAGTCAGTGGTATGTTACTCCTAGAATTCTGCTTCTGCTTAAATTGATCTTCTAATGTCAGCATTCCCCAAACTGGTACTTTCTGACTACTGTGTGGCCAGAGCCCCAAAAATTCACAGTCAGAACTCCAAGTGTGGAGTATTAGGTGGCCAAAATCCACATCCACACACAAGAGGGAATTGGGTGAGAAAACCCTAAGAGGAGAACGAGGTAACCTAAAAACTCAGTAAACACTGAAAGTGTCCAATGGAGGAAGACAGAGGGATAGAATGGGCTATACCAGAAAGGGATATGCTAGTCTGACTAGAAGTCTGAATAGGACCTTTCCATATCTTCTAAATGTTTGTCCAATTGTCTTTTGAAGTTCTCTATACTAGAAGTTATAACCATATCTGTGGCTGTTCTCAAGATAGGCAGAAAAAGAGGTTGAAACATACCATTGGGATAGCCTGAGCCATAGTCCGAGTCCACATTTTCCAGAGCTTCAACAAATTTCCAGTTTTTCACAACCCGATCCCTGGCTACCTGGAGAACACAAGAGAAAATGAAGAACACAGATTTTGCCTTCCTGCACTGGACCGAAGTTGTATAACACTCGATCTCCAATGGTGTTCAGCTTGTTATTTGAGAAAGGCAGACAATGACAGCAATAGCAGTCTCTTTTTGCTTGGTTTCCACATGTGTGGTAATCAGAAGGTATTGTACTTTTACACATGGAAGCGACACTTTCCTCAGGCATGGAGAACCTTTTGCCCTCCAGAAACTGATGGGCAACTGCTTTCACCAGGCCTCACTGCAAGCCAGAGTGGCGAGGACTACTGGGGACTGCAGCTCAACAAAACTGGAGGGACTCAAGGATGTCAGCTATGATTTGGTCGATGGAGTAATTAGAGGTTCATAACGCGATAGTGCATCTCTCCAAACACAAGAGAAGCTATTGAAGGTGAAGGGATCTTTTGGCTAATATTTACCTTGGCACAGATACTGGCTGCACTGACAACAGGAAAGAGGGAGTCTGCCTTTGGCTTCACGGTAACCTCCAGTCCTGGAAACTGTTGCTTTAGCTTCTCTTGGTACTTCTCTGCTGGGCCCACAGTGTCCACAAAGACCTGAAGGAAGGAGAAGCCACAATGGATGTAAGAGGCAGCCTTTTGTGCTATTTCCCACAAGCGTGTAGAGATGAAGTGGCTCACCTCTGCAACCTGCACTCCAGAGTCTAACGCATGCTGGATGAGCCCAATGGCTGTATCATGAGAAAGTGCATTCAGGTTGTACTTTGCTCTGCAACAAAAAAGAATCCATGTTGATTCAATGACATAATGTTGGCTCTAACCCTGAGAGAAAGGCAAGTTTAAAAAGTGTCATGGCTGGATCTTTTACTAGAACCAACTAGGTATCAGAGGAGGAAAGAGTAGATGAATACAGCAAGGGAGAGCACAGCTTCAACACAGGAAGTCCCAGCTGCAACCCCCTGTATCTCTGGTCAGAACTAGTAAAGGATCTTGACTGAAACATGGCAGAGATGCTGCCACTTGATGCAGACAAGGAGTGCCCGCACATTTTGGTTGAGGCTTCTGGGAGTTGAAGAAGTACCAAAGTAGTGCCAAAGATTCTTCACTCTAGTGCAGATGATATTGGTCTAAATAAAAGGGTTGCCGCCAAAAAATTGTATCCTGTTTTTCAGTCTTTCCTTGAACAACTCTTGCAGATTACGCTAACCATTATGTAATTTCTAACTTAAATAACTCACATGTTCTGTAGTTATGTACTTTTGAAACATTTCCAATTTATGATGACTATATAATGGGGTTTTCTTGGCAAGATTTCTTTATGGGGTGCCTTTGCCTTCCTCTAAGGTTGAGAGTGTGGCTTGACCAAGATCACCCAATACGTTTCTATGGTTGAGCATATATTTAAACCCTGTTTTCCAGTCTTAGTCCAATGCTCAAACCAGCACACCACACTGGCTCTCGTGTAATTCATAGGTCACATTACATTAAACATTTTTATTATATTGTTTTAAAGTACAACAATGCATTTTTGTAAAAATACACAAATACCAAAATGCACTTTTATCAAGAACTTTAGTATTAGCTTGTTTGAACACTACTAAAAAGAAAAAAATGTTTTGACACTACATTAAAAATTACACCACAGTGGAACAGTAAATATAAAAATCCCTAATGACTGACAACCATATAACATTTTAGTTCTTTTTTGGTGCTCTACGTTTCTTTTGCACAAGTAAAAAAGAGATATCTATGCTCAACTGTACGTAATAAGTTAGAAATTAAAAATAAAACTTTTTGAAATAGGTTTTCTTTTTTCTAGTGTAGTATTGCATAGAAGGTCTATTTTTTTAATTAATATCATTTCGTACTAATTTTTTGTGTCAGGAGTGACGAGAAATTGCGAGTCATTTCTGGTGTGAGAACTGGCCATCTGCAAGGACACTACCTAGGGGATGCCCAGATGTTTTACCATCCTATGAAAAGCTTCTCTCATGTCCCCACATGGGAAGCTGGAGTTGACAGGCAGGAGCTCACTCTGCTTCCCAGATTCAAACCACTGAGCTTTTAGTCAGCAGTCCTGCCGGCACAAGAATTTAATCCATTTAGCCACATTTTTGTAGTTGAGAGTATAATAATATTATGGCATGACTCATCTTTAAAAATCTGTATAGAAGAAGAATACTACTTGGCTAACTACTATACTATAATTGACTGACTTCTGATAAATTCTCATATCTTTAAATGGATCAAAACTGATTTTGATTTGTTGAACAAACAAATTATCCAGTTACAAAAAGCCAGTCAGCTTTTACATAATGAAACAATGCTATCACGGAGCAGATCATTTTATTCCATTAATAGTCACAATAAAAGTTTGAAAATAACTTTTTCAAAATCAGTTATCTATAATTATGGACAATGTGTAGCACGGCGTCTTATTTGCATTATCCTGCTTCTCTACCAACAGTCTCACTTGAATATAATACAGCTTTCTATGTTCAAACATGTTAATGGCATCCAAAACAGAAAGACATTTGTCACCAGAGACTGCACTGCCCACAGAGCAGGCATGAATGCAAATGCCATATCCTTAACAATGCCATATTTAAGTAGGGTGGTGTGGTATTGTTGCTGTTGCTATTATTATTATTATTATTATTATTTTGTGGTTCTTGTGAGACACTGTTTATAGACTCTTGTCCACATGGTACCTAAGCTCCATTTCCAATCAGTTCTAAGAGAGGCAAAACAGCGACCTTGAGGAAACCATGTCATCTTTCCAAAAACTAATGGTATTTTAATCCACTTATCAGCAACATGGCCATGCCCTGCATTCTGCTCACCGCCTCTGCATGCTAGTTGAGATGAAGTTGGGCGAGAGGATGTGCAGGGCCCAACCCACAAAATCCTTGGCTGCATCCAACTTCTCAAAGAGCTGCTCCCGCTGAGCTTCTGTTAGAGTCTTTGAATCTAAAAGCAAGTGGGAAGAAGAGGACAAGCTGAAAGCGATGGGCACTAGGAGGAATGCAAACATCTCTCCAGAAAAACAACAGACAGGGCGCTTCCTGTTCTTTTCTGGTTTGCATCCCATTTCATATTCTACAGTTTCCACCTCTACTCAGGCAAGTCCTCCTCTTTTTACCTGCCACCTTGATCGCCTCCAGATCTCGTTGCCGGGCCACAGGGCAATAACAGATTCCATAAACCATGGGGCCTGGAAGGGAAGCAGAAGCCAGAATAAGTGATCCAATGCAACATCAGTGTTTTAGCTACAATATAAAAAAACAGTGGCCTACCTTTCAGGGTTATTGTAAGACTTAGAATAACATATGTGCATTTTTAAAAAATCTACATACTCCAGTACTGCAAGATTAGGGGTGATATGGCCTTTCAGGCCCCACCCACACAGCTGAATAAAATCCCACTTAACTGCTTTGAACTGGGTTATATGGCAGTGTGGACTCGGTGCCCTTCCAGACAGCCATATAACAAAGAATATAAAGTCGGAAAATCCGAAAATATTTGCTTTGAACTGGATTATCCGAGTCCACGCTGACATATATTCCAGTTCAAAACAGAAAATGTGGGATTTTATTCAGCTGTGTGGAAGGGGCCCCAAATAACCCAGTTCAAAACATATATTGTGGGATTTTCTGCCTTGATATTCTGGAACATAGGGCTGTGTGGAAGGGCCCTCAGTTAATCTTAGACGGTAGCTTCCATCATTCCTAACAGCTTTCAGCAGGAAATACAGTCCCTTCTCTCTCCAATGCTGCTATAATAAGTATAGCTACAAAGCCAAACTGGGGTTGTCCTGGGTGGTCCTTGTGGTCTCTTCCAATTCTATGATTTTATGGGACCCTTCCACACAGCCCTATATCCCAGAATATCAAGGCAGAAAATCCCACATTATCTGCTTTGAACTGGAATATATGGCAATGTGGACTCTGATAACCCAGACCAAAGCAGATATTGTGGGATTTTCTGCCTTGATATTCTAGGATATAGGGCTGTGTGGAAGGGCCCTATGACAGACAACATGGATACTTCTGCATTGGTTTCTCCAAAAGTAACCATCATTCCACGTTTATAGGTGTGATATTGCAGCTAACAACAACAACAAAAAGCAGAAGGTCTCCATTTGGGTCTCAAGCAAGACATAGAATACACCTACACTGCTTTTAAAAAATGTTTTGTGTATATTGTTTATTGTATATGTTATTTTATTGTAATTTGTTGTTTGGGCTTGGCCTTATGTAAGCCGCCCTGAGTCCCTGTTGGGGGAGATGGTGGCGGGGTATAAATAAAGTTGTTTATTATTGTTGTTGTTGTTGTTGTTGTTCATTTGTTCAGTCATTTCCGACTTCGTGACTTCATGGACCAGTCCTCACCAGAGCTCTCTGTCGGTTGTCACCACCCGCAGCTCCTTCAGGGTCAATCCAGTGACTTCAAGGATGCCATCCATCTATCTTGCTCTTGGTCAGCCCCTCTTCCTTTTTCCTTCCATTTCCCCCAGAATCATTGTCTTCTCCAAGCTTTCCTGTCTTCTCATGATGTGGCCAAAGTACTTCATCTTGGCCTCTACTATTCTTCCCTCCAATGAGCACTCAGGCTTTGTTTCCTGAAGTATGGACTGGTTGGATCCATGCATTATCTCTACAGCAATAATAATAATAATAATAATAATAATAATAATAATAATATTGTAGAGATAATGCAGTTTGATCCCACTTTGACTACCATGGCTCAGTGCTATGGAATCCTGGGAGATGTAGTTTAGTGAGGCACCAGCACTTTTTGGAAATGAAGGCTACAGATTGTAAAACCACAACTCCCTTGATTTTACATCATGAAGCCACGGCAGTGAAAGTGGGGTCCAATGCATGACATCTACAGTGCAGATGCACCCGAAGACCTGCCTGCCTCCTTGTTCGTGCATTTCTTTGCTGGACCAAAACATTCCCTCCCTGGGCTGCAAGGCTCCCCTTACCGAGCACGGGCCCCCTCCCGGCCTCATCGATGCCCAGGCAGCAGGGCTGGGCGCGGCAGGCGGCGGGCGCAGAGGAGCCCAGCAGGCAGCTCACCGCGTTGTCCTCCTCGAAGGCGCCCAGGTCCATCTTCCGAGCCGCGCGCCAAGGAAACGCCGAGGGGGAACCTGCACCGGAAATGGAGAGGCGGGAGCGCAGGCAGCGCACAGCCTTCTGGGAGTCGTAGTTCGTGGAGCAAAGATGCTGCGCCACCCACGTGCGCTCCAGCCAGTGCGGAAGCAGGGAGGCAGAGATACTGTTCAGGTCCTGTAGAACAGGCCTGGGCAAACTTGGGCCCTCCCTCCAGGTGTTTCGGACTTAAACTCCCACAATTTGTAACAGCCTACCAGCTGTTAGGAACACTGGGAGCTAAGTCCAAAGCATCCGGAGGGAGGGCCCAAGTTGGCCCAGGCCTGGTTTAGTCTGCCTGGTTGTCTACAGTAGGTAGTAGCTGACCAGTTATAGATAGAGGCGCAGATATTACACAGACAATCTACAGGAAAAGAGAATAATGGATCATAATTGAAACTAAAGGCAGGTCAGGCAAAGGAAGAAATTAGATTTGGATAAAAGCAGGCAGTTAATGCTGGAAGAATTGAAGGTTGCCAAAATTTGCTACTTCACCAAAAATGTCTTGTCCAGAGTTTTATTAATCATAGGCTCAGAGGAGTCATTTCTAACACTGGCTACTATTGAAATGGAGTTACAGGCCCCTTCCACGTAGCTGAATAAAATCCCACACTATCTGCTTTGAACTGGGTTATGAGTCCACACTGCCATATATTCCAGTTCAAAGCAGAAAATGTGGGATTTTCTGCCTTGATATTCTGGGTTTTATGGCTGTGTGGAAGGGTCCTAAGGCCCCTTCTACACTGCCAGAAAATCCAGATTATCACAGCAGAAAATCCACATTATCTGATCTGGATTTTATACACCTATGTAGAAGGGGCCTAAATAATCCAGTTCCAATTAGATAATGTGCATTTTCTGCTTTGATCACCTGGATTATCTGGCAGTGTAGATGAGGCCAGGGTCAGACTGAAGCTGAGTTTCCAAGGGGAATATGATGCGATTCCATAGACCCAATTCAAATCCCAATCACTTGACCTGCCCTTTTGACTAAAGCCCCTTCCACACAGAAGAAGAAGAACTTTATTTTTCTACCCCACCTCCATCTCCCCGAAGGGACTCGTGGCGCCTTACATGGGCCCAAGCCCAAAAAACATACAATTAAAACAAGGCAAATAAGAATTAAAAGCGTGTGCAACGAACATCATAAGCAATAATAAACAGACATCATAAGCAACAACCAGAAATACTTCTAGTCTCATTGGGGGGGGGGGGTGTACAAACAAGTTGGAGAATAGGCTGGTCAAAAAGATGGATAGAACATATCACAGCATAGGAATACAGCAGTTGTAATAGGATCATTTCAGCTTAAAAATACATTAATCAAATGCAGGAACTTCTTTTCAGGCCATCTGTCAAAAGGATCATTTGTCAAAGAGATTGTCAATCGAATGCACAACGGAACATCCGTGTTTTTAGTTTCTTACAAAATGTGGATAGGGAGGGTGCTAACCTGATCCCCCTGGGGAGGGAATTCCAGAAACGAGGGGCCATCATCAAAAATGCCCTTTCTCTCATCCCCACCAACCACGTCTGAGACAGAGGTGGGAGTGAGAGAAGAGCCTCCCCAGAAGACCTTAGAGACCATGTGGGCTCGTAGGGGAAGATAAGGTCACAAAGATAGGTAGGTCCCACATTATTTGCTTTAAACTGGAATATATGGCAGTGTAGACTCAACCCAGGGCCCTTCTACACAGCCCTATAACCAAGATTATCAAAGTAGGAAATCCTACAATATCTGCTTCCACACTCAAAGCAGATCTTGTGGGATTTTCTGCCTTGATATTCTGGTATATAGGGTTGTGTGGAAGGCCCTTATAGAGATCAACACAGTCAATGGCACTGCAAACCAAGAGTTTTAACAGTACCAACTAAACCACACTCCCCCATATGTATCACATTAATCCAACAAGGCATCAAAGCCATCTCTATCCCACAGCTGGGCCTGAAACCAAACTGAATTGGATCTAGATAACATGCCTCATCTGTGTTGTCTCTGACAAGTCTCATCTGTGATGATGCTATGAAGCTGTTAGACCAAGCATGAAACCTACTCTGGCTGGTAGAAGCTCTTTTTGGCCCTGTTCCCCTGAGATCCTATTAGGTTTTAGAGGCAAGAAATGCTCTGAACTGAGATTTTCTCAATACAAGGCATATTATTAACTACTGCAGCATGTTTTTCTTTTGCTACCCTACCCTGCACCCACAGCATCGTTTTAAAATTCACAACATAAAAATGATGGCGGTAATTTTTCACAAAGCAACTGAATAAATCTTGCCACATAAATGCTATATTAGGGTTGTCACAAGTCAGGCTCAACTTGAAGGCACATACCAACAACAAATCCATGGGAGAGAACTCAAGAAAGGTGTTACCCCCATACATTTCTTGCATGCATGGAATTTCAGAGGTATGAATGACTCTCTGTGTAAGGTTCCTTTCTTTGTTTTTCCTGGCTAGTCTATTATACTTTCGTTCAAACGAAATCCAGCTGATGAAGTTTTCTGAACATACCGAGCAGGCATTCGCCTAAATGCTATTGTTAGTGTCAACAAGTGTAGATCCATTGAGGCCCCTTCTACACTGCCATATAATCCAGATTAACTGCTTTGAACTGGATTATATGGCAGTTCAAAGCAGATAGTGTGGATTATCTGCTTTGATAATCTGGATTATATGGCAGTGAAGAAGGGGCCTTAATCAGCGGGGTTCCTCTGGTCCCTTCCACACAGCTGAATAAAATCCCACATTTTCTGTTTTGAACTGGGATATGTGGTAGTGTGGACTCAGATAACTCAATTCAATGCAGATACTGTAGATTATATGACTCAATATTCTGTGTGGAAGGGCTGTCAGTTGACTCACTGCTCTACTAATTATTCAATGGTTCTGAGTTCCTTGTAGAAGTACCGTAAAGATGACTGTCATCTTGTGGTGACCCCATGGATTTCACAGGGTTTTCTTAGGCAAGAGATACTTAGGGCCCTTCCACACAGCCATATAATCCAGAATATCAAGGCAGATGATCCACAATATCTGCTTTGAACTGGACTATCTGAGTCCACGCTGCCATATAATTCAGTTCAATGTGGATTTTATACAGCTGTGTGGAAGGGGCCTTTGTAAAGAGTACCTAGTAGCATTTGGGTCAATATGTACAAGGCATCCGTAACCAGAGGTGATGGATGAGGCTGCCATTGTTTCTAGAAGGAAATTTAGCATCATGGGCTAAAGTCCAACACTTCAGCTTAGACATGTAAAGTGATGCTGAGTTTGACCTGTTGAATGCCTTTCATTATCGTAATACAGTTTGGGTTAGTAGAAACTAACCTAACCCTTCCACACAGCTGAATAAAATCCCACATTATCTGCTTTGAACGGGGATATATGGCAGCATGGACTCAGGGCCCTTCCAGACAGGCCTTATATCCCAGGACCTATCCTAAGTTTTCTGTTTATCCCAGATTATATGGCAGTGGGGACTCATATAATCCAGTTTAATGCAGAAAACCTGGGATCAGATCCTGGGATAGAGGGCCTGTCTGGAAGGGTTCTCAGATAACCCCGTTCAAAGCAGATATTGTGGGTTATTCTGCCTTGTTATTCTGGGCACCCTTCCACATAGCCCTGTATTCCAGAATATCAAGGCAGAAAATCCCCCAATATCTGCTTTGAACTGGGTTATCTGAGTCCACACTGTCACACTTTATATTCTTTGTTATATGGCTGTGTGGAAGGGCTCCAAGTCCACACTGCCATATAACCCAGGTCAAAGCAGATAGTGTGGGTTTTTATTCAGCTGTGTGGAAGAGGCCTTAGGGCTCTTTCACATAGCCATACAAAACAGAAGATCAAGGCAGAAAATCTCACAATATCTGCTTTCAACTCGGTTATCTGAATCCACACCGCCATATATTCCAGTTCAAAGCAGATGTGGGATTTTCTGCCTTGATATTCATGGATAATAGGCTGTGTGGAAGGGTCCTTAGTAATATGGTTGTGTGAAAGGGCCTTAGGGGTGCTTTTATCCTGTTGAATGGATGCAGCTTGACACCACTTTCACTGCAAGGACTCCATGCCATGTAATTCTGGGATTTGTAGCTTGGTGAGGTACCAGCATTCTTTAGCAGAGACCTTGTAAAATGATATATTCCAGGGCCCTTCCAAACAGCCCTATATCCCAGAATATCAAGGCAGGAAACCCCACAATATCTGATTTGAACTGGGTTATCTGAGTGTGGACTCAGATAACCCAGTTCAAAGCAGATATTGTGGGATTTCCTGCCTTGATATTATGGGATATAGGGCTGTGTGGAAGGGCCCAAAGTAGAACTGGTGGGCATGTCTCTCACAGCATCTCAAGCCTATATAAACATTTAAATGTAATGAACCATAGTCCTGAATCGTTCAAGGTCCTAGTTTTAGAGGTGGTTACATCCTCCTCAAACACAGATTTATCTACTAGACTACAACAATGTGAAGCCTTCTGGATTTTTACTCTTAAAACTGTGCATCCTAAGGGACTAAACGATTCCATTTCATTTCAATGTTTTATGTGAACGGGTGCATGCCTCTTTAAACAGGTTTTTTCTTATGAGTAACTTACTGTTGAGGACTGGGATACATCCACACTGATAGCTATACCAGGCCCTTTTAAATTTCTCTTCATACACTTTAAGTTTCTCTATATATCCTGGAGTTTCTACCTGTTTCTCCTGGGCTTGCCATAGAATCATATTAATAGCAGAGCACTTTTGTAGGAGAACTTATGTGAATATTTTTTGTTCCTGTTCTGTATGCTTTCACAACATTTGGTAATTGCTCTCGTATACTATGTGTTTTAGCCACTCATATGTGTTCACTTTAGGACCACATCATTGTTGACATTAATATACTGACTCTACTTGAAGAATTCTCCACTTGGCAAAACTGACTATTTGTGGATTTCTACGTGTATCAACTACCACCTGACGAAGACTTCACGTAGTCAAAACCGGTTGTGGTTTATAAACTGTGGATTCCAAAAGGACTGATAAACTTTGATTTGCTGTTGACAAACTTTGGTTAAAGAAGGACTAACAAACTTGTTCATTCTGCTGTAGGAATCAGCTGTTTACTCACATCAAGAAGTTCTGGATTAAGAGACTTGCAAAAAAGACTTGCAAACTTTGATTTGTTATTGATAAGTGTATTGTAGGTCCTTTTTGGTTTTCAAAAGGACTGATAAACTTTGATTTGCTGTTGACAAACTTTGGTTTCAAAAAGAACCTACAAACTTGTGCATTTTGCTGTAAGAATTAGTCGTTTATCCCACATAAGGAATTTTTTTGGTTTATAGAATTACATGAAGTATACTTTGTACGAGATGCTAGTACATTTAATGTTATAGTACTATAAGCATAGATATGATATACATTATTCTGATTATATAACTGCATTACTTTTTGGTGTATAGTGGCCTTCTGCCCTTGTATTTCGGGGAATCCTTGCTCTCTACTGTGTGGAAGGGTCCCCAGGATGCTATAGAATTGAGCCCTGGCGGTGCACAAATTGCATTCATTCTACAGTGCTGCGCCCTGGGTGCAATTCCACTGGTGCTGCTGGTTTTGTCCCCCAAAGATCCCAACCCATCCCTTGGGTCGCGTGCGCAGCGTGAAGGGGCCTGGCTCAGGCCCCGCCCACCGGCCCCAAGCCCCGCCCACCCCCTGCCATCCCGCTTGCTATAAAAGGGCCGCCGCCTCCTCCTGCGCCAGGAGTGGTCCAGGTTCGCCGGGTGTCTTTTGAAGTCGGCTTGAGTGAGGTAAGGCGTGGATGGGCGGTTGCTCCAGTGCAGGGGCTTGGCTGCAGGTACATTGTTCCGAGGTGCGAGGCGTCCCCTCCGAGAGGCCTGGCGGTGGGCCTGTGAAGGGCCTTCCTTTGCCATCCGCCTTCTTCTCCCGACTTTGCTGGGTCTTCGTTTTCCGCGTGGACCGGCCTTTCAGTTCCAGCGCGTGACGCCAGAATGGGGTGCTGCTGCTGCTGCTCCTCCTGGCAGCCAGGCCTCGTGCGCCTTTGTCTCAAAGAGGAGGAGGAGGAGGAGGGGGGGGGGCTTTCGGAGGCGGCCCTCCTTTTGCAAAAAAGCGAGGCTGGTGGTGCTCCGTTTGTAGCCCTCCTTTCGTTCCGAGGAGGAGGCGGGGAAGGCCTCCTTGCTGCTAAGCTGTCTTACTAAGGGTCCTCCTTTTTTAGCTCCTTTCTCTCCAACGCCCAGGCCGCACGTGCAAAAGCTCTCTTGTAGGGTGCATCCACACAGCCGAATTAATGCAGTTTGATCACCCTTTGGACTGCCAAGACTCCATGCTATGGAATCCTGGGATTTGTGCTTTGGTGATGCAGCCAGACCTTGTGAAAGTGCAACTCCCATAGCTTTTGAGTCAAACTGCATCTATTCCACAGTGTAGATCAGACATGGGCAAACTTGGATCCTCCAGGTGTTTTGGACAGCCTATTAGGAATTGTGGGAGTTGAAGTCCAAAGCACCTGGAGGGCCCAAGTTTGCCCATATCTAGTGTAGAAGGACTCCTGATCTGAATCCCTCTTTGAATACTGCTCCTATGAATAAGCTACTCCCCTTGGGGCTCCAGGCAAGGTGTCTAAGCTCTTAAGCTCATTGAAAAGGCCCTGAATCAGAGCTTTGAGAGAATGATTGAATTCTTGCATTCTTTTTAACTGAAAGGAAAGTGCAGAACAAAAATTTCAGGTGTGCAGTTGGGTTAGGGACACTTTCAAGTACTATTGAAAGAGATGAATAGAAATGGGGCCCCTTTGGGACTCTTTATCTCAAATGGGTTAGATCAGGCAAGGGCAAACTTGGGCCCTCCAGGTGTTTTGGACTTCAACTCCCACAATTCCTAGCAGCCTCGGGCCCTTTCCTTTAAGCGGCTGAGGGGGGAAAGGAAAGGGCCCGAGGCTGCTAGGAATTGTGGGAGTTGAAGTCAGAAACACCTAAAAGGCCAAAGTTTGCCTATGCCTGGGTTAGATGGTGGAGTAGTTGGACAAAAGCATCAAGTGTGGGTTGATGTCTGGGATTGCATCTACACCATGGCGTTAATGCAGTTCAATACCACTTTAATTGCCAAAGCTCAATGCCATGGAATCATAGTTTATTTCAAGGAGAAGTATAAAGACCTTGTAAAACCACGACTCCTGTAATATTGAGCCATGGCACTTAAAGTGGGGCCAATTTGTATTAATGTAACAGTAGAACAGGCATGGGCAAACTTTGGCCCTCCAGGTATTTGGACTTCAACTCCCACAATTCTTAACAGCAAGTAGGTTGTTAGGAATGGTGGGAGTTGTAGTCCAAAATACTCAGAGGGCCAGAGTTTGCCCATGCCTGGTGTAGAATGAGGTTATGCATTGTTACAGCTTTGAGTCCCCCCAGGGGTGAGAAAGGTGGTATATAAATACTGTAAATAAATAAATAAGAATCACCCCTGGATTTTTTATCTCCTTACCCTTCAGGCTCAAAACTAGAGTCACAATTCAGTGAAATCTCCCCATTTCTTGCCTTGTTCACACTGGCTGTGCCAGTAGCTGCAGATCTGATTAAGCACACAATGGCGTTGCCTTGTCTTCCTCCAGACTTCACCCATTTAAGCCGGTAGGGGCTGTTAGATTACTCTGCAAAGCCTCCTCCTTGATCTGGAGGACTCTGATAAAGGCTTTTGCAACACCCCTCTCCCCATCTTGAGATTACTTGTTTGTTATCTAAGGCTGTCAAAATACCTTTCTCTTTAAGGGATTTAAAGAACAGGGGCCTGCCACTCACTGATGAGGCCTAGGTTGTTGCACTTAAGCCTTAGATAGGGTTGCACCACAGCTTAGTTTCATAGCACCCTGCACTGTTGTTGCACTAATTTAACTGCTGCGACAGCATCTTGTGGAATCCTAGGATTTGCAGTTGGTAGGCATTTACAGCCCAGAAAGTTATTGGACCCCATTAAACTATAAACCCCAGACTTCCTCAAGATGTTACCTTGGTAGTTAAAATTGAATATACTGCTATAATAGTGTATTGTGATAAAGACATTAGCTCTGAAATGTGTTGGATATTTTGAGACAAGACTAAACTATGGGCCACATGTCCAGCACCCAAACCACTTGCTACAGAGGAGAGGATTGTGGAAGAAAGAGTCTTGGATGTTGGTCTAGTTCTTACTTTGGGATGCCCAACCAAAGTCACTTTGGGTGTACCTAGACTATAGAATTAATGCAGTTTGACACCACTACAACTGGCTCAGTATTCTAAAACCCTGGGATTTGTTGTTTGTTGAGTCATCAGCACTTTTGACAGAGAAGGCTAAAATCCTTGAGAAACTACAGCTCTCCATAGCATTGAGCCATTGTGGTATATAAGTAAGGTAAATAAATAAATAAATAAATTGCAGTTAAAGAGGCCTGCATCAATAGGAGTCTAGTGTCTAGATTCAGGGGAGTCATGCTACACTTCTGTTCTGCCTTGGTCACACCACACCTGGAATACTGCGTCCAATTCTGGGCAGTACAATTGAAGGAGATGTTGACAAGCTGGAATGTGTCCAGAGTAGGGCGACTAAAATGATCAAGGGTGTGGAGAACAAGCCCTATGAGGAGCAGTTTAAAGAGCTGGGCATGTGTAGCCTTCAGAAGAGAAGGCTCAGAGGAGATATGATAGCCATGTCTAAATATGTGAGTGGAAGTCATAGAGAGGAGGTAGCAAGCTTGTTTTCTGCTGCCTTGGAGACTAGGACGCGGAGTAATGGCTTCAAATTACAGGAAAGGAGATTCCACCTGAACATGAGCAAGAACTTCTAACTGTGAGAGCTGTTCAGCAGTGGAACACTCTGCCCCGGAGTGTGGCAGAAGCTCTTTCTATGGAGGATTTTAAATAGAGGCTGAATGGCCATCTGTTGGGGGTGCTTTAAATGCAATTTTCCTGCTTCTTGGCAGAATGAGGTTGGACTGAATGGCCCATGAGGTCTCTTCCAACTCTAGGATTCTATAGGTATCAAACTACATTAATGTTACAGTGTCAAGGCACCCTCTTTGTCTATTAATTCTTTCTCATCAGTGCAGTTTCTCAAAGCGCTTTCCAGCATAACGATTCCTGGTGGTGATAATGTTCCTTTTTCTTCTGTCCCAAGTTGCTAACACGGTGGGAAATCTTTTCCCAACACGAGTGAAGTGAAAAGTCAACAAACTAGTCCTAGCGGTTCCTGTCTCCACCACAAGTAGGCCTTTTGCAAGGCTGGGGAATATTTAATGCCCATTCAACATCATACTCCAGAATAATTTGCTTTGGAGCAATAGGGCTTCCAATATAGATGCTGGGGTTGCTTAATATGCATAACGGAGCTGGACCTCTTTCTGAAGTTGCCAAAATACTGAATGAGTCACGATTCTTTGGAGAATTTTGCAAGGAGCTTGAGCTAAACTATATAGAAATCTCTGCTCATGCAAGTTATGCCAAGAGAAATGAGAGGAGAATACAAAGTGTGAATAATAAGGCATAAATGTCCAGGGAAATATATCCTTAAATTTGAGTTGTGAACTACTTTGAAGGCCAATCTTTTAAGGGTATAAATACATTAGACTTTCCAGTGGAGAAATATCTTGATCTGGAGGAATTAGAATAAGTTACTTGTCTGCTCTTGATGCTTGTGTCCTTTGGGCCTAGTTTGGATTTATTCTATGTTGAAATAGGATTTCTGTGGTGCTGTCTGTAGAAAACAAGTTACATTTGTCTTAAGCATAGCTTGAGAGGACTGCTTATTATATTAATGGGTTAGTTAGTGCCTGTCTGCCATCTGTTAGCCAGAAACGGCAGTATTGTGGAAGATGTGGTTGTGTGAGTAAGTTCTTGCTGCTGTTGCTTTCAGTATCTCATCTTCCTCTTCATGTTCCTACATGCTGATTGGAAGGAGCAAGGGTTTATCTTGTTGAAAGCTGCATTTACATTGCTGTGCTCATGCATTCAGCCCTAATATTGCAAAAAGCAAGGAGAAACGTGAGAAGGTGAAGGAATGGGGCTTGGCCTACATGAAAAGTTGTGAAACCCAAGCAGATATTGAAGTCACAGAGAGAAACTCTGCTAACAGTATAAAGCAGTGATTCTCAACCTGTGGGTCCCCAGATGTTTTGGCCTTCAACTCCCAGAAATCCTAACAGCTGTTAAAGTGGCTGGGATTTGTGGGAGTTGTAGGCCAAAACACCTGGGGACCCACAGGTTGAGAACCACTGGTATAAAGGAGCTTTAGACTCATAGAATGATGGAGTTGGAAGAGACCCCAAGAGGCATCCAGTCCAACCTCCTGCCATGCAGGAGCGCACAATCAAAACACCCCTGACAGATGGCCATCCAACTTCTGCTTTGGGGATGAAATTGTGAGGACAACCTTAATTGGATCTCAGCACAAATCAAATGTACCACAAAAGAGTGCATAGACTTTTCTGCAACTTCCTTTGCTAGATATTGGGTAGCAGTGCTCAAAGAGACAGACTTTCTGTAACAGATTAATTTGAAATCCACGTATCAGTGATAGGTACACCACTGATGACTCTTCAGCTAACTGGGCTAGGTTTTAGAGAAGTCACTGGAACATTTGCTAGCTAACTTCGCCTTACTAGCGCTTGCCCATGCCAGGGTTTCTCTAGAACTTCAAAGCTTTTTTTTTTTGTTGTGTCAGGAGCGACTTGAGAAACTGCAAGTCACTTCTGGTGTGAGAGAATTGGCCGTCTGCAAGGACGTTGCCCAGGGGACTCCCGGATGGTTTGATGTTTTATCATCCTTGTGGGAGGCTTCTCTCATGTCTCAAAGCTGAAAAGTGGCTATTTGAACCAGAAACCACTCGCATTTTCCCCCTCAGAGGAAGGCTGTCTGATTGTCTCATGCCTCAGGGATTGCCTTGAGCTGAAAAACTTCAGCTAGCAAACACTGTCTTTCTTTGTCTGGGGTTTGATACACTAAATGATTAGAACACCTCCCAACAAAGGATTCCCCCAGGCAGGAAGCAGCCAGGCTTTGCAGCTGCAAGGCTATTCAGTGCTAATCAAGCTGGCCAATTGCCACATTCACACTCCTCCACCCTGGACATTCCATAGATACATAAACCCCACTTACCTCACAACCTTTGAGGATGCCTGCCATAAATGCGGGTGAAACACAGGAGAGAATGATTCTGTAACATGGCCATGCAGCCCAGAAAACTCACAGCAACCCATTAGAAAAGATGTTTTTTCTCTCAAGTTAGAGATTGGCTAGAAGCTAGGGATATAATTTAGGTAGTAAGAAGAATGGTAAAGTCTGCCTAAAACCCCCACTAGCACCAGATTATGTCCGATTTCACAAGCTAAGCAGGCTCAGGCCTGCATACTGGAAGGGAGACTTCCTGCCCGCCCGGCAATACCAAGTAGTTTAGACTGTGCTTCAGAGGAAGGCAATGGCAAACCATCTCTGAACAACCTTGTAAAATGACAGACCCTGATACATGGTTAACTCATACTCTGAAACACTTTATGTTCCTCTTGCAGCAATTTTGAAGTTCCCAAGGTTTGGGAATTCCAGCTCCCAGAATAATCTCAGTTAGCTGGGCCAACACAGTAAGGGATTCTGGGAGCTGAAGTCCCAAACCGCTGGAGGACCATAGTTGGGAACCACTGAAGTAGTTGAATGTGGGAGAGGTTAGATGATCAATTATGTGGACTTTGATAACCACAGTGGCTGGATAATAGTGCCCCTCCATCCCTTTCTGGCTCTGGAAGTTTGATGGGAAGGGCATGAATGGCTTTTTAATTCTCCTTGTACCTGTTCTGTATCAAGTCTCATGTTTCCAGGGGCTGCTCAGTAGCCACTCCTATAGCTTTATACCTTTCTGTCATTTCAGAAAATGTCTACCGGCAATGTCCAGATTGGGAAGTCAGTTCCAGACTTTCAGGCCACAGCAGTGGTAGATGGAGCCATCAAGGAATTAAAAATGTCAGACTACAAAGGTAAGAGAGATTGTTGATTCCACCTTTTTGTGGCTATTTTCACTCAGTTTATTAGTTTCTGGGTTTACAAAAAGCTTAGAATATGTGTGAAAAAAAGGAAAGAATTCCCAAGGCTGGACCAAGTCAAGAGATTCAGAGCAAAACAGCTAAAATCTTCTATCCAGCTATGCTCTGGAGCACATGAGCATCAAGGCAGAAAGAGTCTTTATTCTAGATCTCCCTCAAGGAAAAACAAACACCAGCCACTGAAGCAGAGCTTAGAAAAATTGCTTTTTTGGAGGCTGCACTGCGACCGTACCTCGAGAAGCCAGACAGTGGTCCATGCCTTAGTTACATCAAAATTGGATTACTATAATGCACTCTGTGTGGGGCTGCCTTTGAAGACTGCTCGGAAACTGCAATTGTGCAAAGATCAGCAGCCAGGCTACTAACCAGAGCAAGCTATAAAGAGCACGCAATGCCCCTACTAAAGCAGCTCCATTGGCAACCAATAAGTTTCTGATCCCAATTCAAAGTGCTAGTTATCACTCGGGTCCTGTCTATCTTTGTGACTGTACCCCCCCCCCCAAAATAAACCAGCATGGGCTCTAAGATCTGCCAGGGAAGCCCTTCTCTCAGCCCTGCTACCAACACAAGTGTGGTTTGTGGGGACAAGAGAGAGGGCCTGCTCAGTGGTGGCCCCATGACTTTGGAGATTAGACAGGCACCCTTACTGTCCTCCTTTTGTAGGGACTTGAAGACATGGCTTTTCAGTCAAGCCTTTGAAAATGTTTAGTCGCTAGTTGTCCTGCGTAGTAGTCACATATCCTGCACTTTATCCCATGCCCTCTCTCCATTAGTGCAACTGGCACTTATTTTATGCCTAATGTTTACCTCTTGGCCATGTTTACAGCAATTTACTGCCAGGGTTAGAGGACCGCAGTTTGAATCTGATGTGATGTTTTTATATGTGCATGTGTTTTGTTTTGTTTTATTTTATATTGTGCTCACTTTTATGTTTTGTTTTAGGCACTTTGTGCCATCTGTAATCCGGCCCGAGTCCTTTTGGGAGAGATGGTGGCAGGATATAAGAATAAAGTTGTTGTTATTACACCTCCCAAGGGTCTCAGAGAGTTTTCATCCCAAAGACTGAATTCTCCAAGCTTTGCTCTGAATCACCCTTGAGTCTAGTAGCTCTGGAATAGATAGTAGCTTGCTCAGGCATGGGCAAACTTGGACCCTCCAGGTGTTTTGGACTCCAGCTCCCACAATTCCTAACAGCCGGAATTGTGGGAGGTGGAGGAGTCCAAAACACCTGGAGGTCCCAAGCTTGCCCAAGCCTGAGCTAGATTCGTGATGTTGTTATCTAGATTTTCTTCTAAGGTTTAGAAAAAAACATAAAAAGAAGCAGTGGGTATTCATGGCAATGGTGCAAAGTGAGTCTTAATTATCCTATGTATCATGATTCCTTAATTTATGCATATAAAACACATTCAATAACAGAGAATTTTCTGCCTCAGATAAGTTATGATCATGTTTTGTGGATTAAAAGACTATGTTTGTTGTTACTGATATGATTTTGCTAAGCAGTGCTCTCTTTATTTCCCCCACAAAGGAAAATATGTAGTACTTTTTTTCTATCCGTTGGACTTCACCTTTGTGTGCCCTACGGAGATCATAGCTTTTAGCGACCGAGTTGAGGAGTTCCGCAAGATCAACTGCGAGGTTATTGCTGCCTCTGTTGACTCTCAGTTCACCCACTTGGCCTGGTGAGTCCTCTAGTTCTTGTATGCCCGTTTCTCATATTAAGAGGCAAGTATTATGCTAAAGGCTGACTTGTAGTTTCTAGCTTTGTCATAATGCGGCATAAATATGAATTAGGTGAAATGCTTGATGCTCAGGTTCTAGGAGCCATTTCAGTCCAGCTTCATGCTGTGTTCAGGAAAAGGAAATGGAGCTGAAACATCAGTCACAAGAATAATATTTGAGGCATACTGACTGGGAAGGGGTTAGGTATACGTTAACCGACTGAAGGGTGTGGAGGTCTATACCAGCCTTATCTTGGAAAATTTGGATGTTTCTAGAACTTTATCACCCATCTCAGTAGACAGGCAGCAGTGGCTTTGATCACCAAATGGGTGTGGAGAACTATATAGTGCCATAGAAGCAGACTTCAGCAAAACAGAGGGCTCCTCCAGTTGCAAGGCAAATTGCTACTCAACATTTTAACTATGAATGTTAAGGTCATGTCCTGTGTCTGCTGTAGTTTAATATTTGTTCTGTGTATTTTAATATGTGCAGAAATATATGTTAATATATGCATTTTACTTACTATTTTATGGTGATGTGTTTTTAACTATGTTGTGGCCTGCCTCAAGCTGCAAGTAGAGGCAGGTAAGAAATAAAATTATTATTATTATTACATTCCTGTTAAAAAAAATATGACTGCATATAAATACTAAATAACTAGATGTGCAGGTTATTTATTTATAATGTCAGAAGCAAATTGAGGGTGCAGTTATAATGTATTTAAAAACACAAAGATGAAAATGATAACTTTATTTTTATACCCCGCCTCTATCTCCCTGAAGGGACTCGGGACGGTTTACATGGGGACAAGCCCAAAACAAACATGATTAAAATATATCACACTAAAAAATAAAAACAGAATAAAAAAACATTACAACAGAATATAAGAGCAACCATCAAACCAACAACCAATGAGCCTGTAACAATAAACAATTTCTGGGCACGGGTGGGCAAAGCAGTGCAACTCAATTGTAAGGATAGAGCTGGTGGTTACAGTGTGTAAGTCAAATGGCAACATTTGGGATATCGGACAGTATAAGATGGAACATTATGATTTTGGGTACAGAGCAGTAGTAAAGTGAAAGGAGGAGATTTGAGTCCTAGTTGGGACCAGGTTATCTGAGAGATTGTCTAATCGAAGGCCAGAAGTTGGCCACTTGTAGTGTCTCTGGTGTCACTGTGAGAAGGTCCTCCATTGTGCATGTGGCAGGGCTCAGGTTACATTGTACTGGGTGGTCTGTTGTTTGCTCTTCTCCACACTCACATGCCGTGGACTCCACTTTGTAGCCCCATTTCTTAAGGTTAGGTCTGCATCTTGTGGTGCCAGAGCGCCTTCCAGGTCACCCAATCTTCTGTGTGCCCAAGAGGGAGTTTCTCATCTGGTATCAGCCACTGATTGAGGTTCCGGGTTTCAGCCTGCCACTTTTGGACTCTCGGTTGCTGAGGTGTTCCTGCGAGTATCTTTCTGAATGTTAGGAAGCTATTTCTTGATTTAAGGTGTTAGCTTGCTGGCTGATATCCAGAGGATGGGCCAGATTTAATGTAGCTAAATACGATTTATTATAGATTTGCAGGTGACATAATAGATTAAATAACACTGTAATGTTGCAAATACTAACATTATTTTCCTTGTAGGATTAATACCCCAAGAAAGGATGGTGGGTTGGGTTCCACAAACATCCCACTTGTGTCTGATGTCAGCCACAACATCTGCAAGAACTTCGGTGTGCTGAAGGAGGATGAGGGCATTGCATACAGGTACGGCGATGTCCAGAGGTAATTTGATTACTAAGTAAGCTTCAAAAGGCCTACGATTGATGGAATCCTTACTCATTTTGGAAACATTTATTTTTGGCAAGTCACTTTGTGTACCAAGTTTGGGGGAAAGGCAGGGAATCAAGGAAATAATTTATACTAGGTTCGAGTTGTAAAGCTCTCCAGGATTGTTGACTTGCAACTCCCAGCAGTAAAGAATGCCAGGAATAAAAATATATCAACATCTGGAGGCCCACTCAGTTCTTATCCTTGACCTCATGCCATACTCCGTGGCTAGAAAACAGAGAGGGAAAAGGAAAGGCACACATTTTTCAAGTCCTTATAATGATCAGATTTAATGTAGCTAAACATTATTTATTGTTGTGTGCCTTCAAGCCACTTCTGATTTGTGGTGACCCTATCACAGGGTTTTCTTGGCATTTTTTTTTTGTGATAATTTGCTTTTATTTCCCTTTGGGGCTGAGAGAGTATTATTTGTTCAAAGTCACCCAGTTGGTTACCATAGCCGACAAGAGATTTGAATCCTGGTCTTCATGGTCCTCAAAATACCATACAAGTCTGGCTCTCAGGCTCTTGCTGGTCATACTGTGATCAATTAGAACAGAAAGCATTCAAAAGAAGAGGAGCCAAATGTACAAATCTAACAGCTGAACTGATAGAGCAACCTAGTTTCTCTCTCTCTCAGAATGGATGGTGGATGGTGAATGATAATTGCAGGAGAAGTGAAGGCCAACAGAAGTCACTGGTCCTGGCTGCTTTTAGTAGCAAGACCTCTAAATGGCTGATTCAAAACTTCCATCCCACTTGACTCTAGAGCTGTGAGTCCCATTGAAGAGGATTTTCCCCCTGTTTCTGTGGCAAGATATTGTCCCTTTGCCATCAGCTCCCCTCGCCTTTAGGAGTATGTATCGAGCCAGGAAAATACTGAAATGCTTCCACACACTAATTGGGCTGTAGAACCTTACTCTTGGTTTGTATATACTGGTATGATCTCTGCCTTGACTAGAAATATATATGGTTTGGCGGACCAAGCATTGCATGCTTTAACCTCTTATGCCGGCAACAGTCCTGTCTCAGGCAGTCCCAAGCTTGAATCTTAAGTAAAAGAAATGTTGTTTTCCTTCTTCCGTATCAGAGGCCTGTTCATAATTGATGCTAAAGGCATTGTTCGGCAGATCACCATCAATGACCTCCCTGTGGGACGTTCTGTGGATGAGGCGTTGCGCCTGGTACAAGCCTTCCAGTTCACAGACCAGCATGGTGAAGGTAAGCGCAAGGAGTTTGGGGGTGAGGGTGTGCACACAGAAGAGAAACAGACCACTCATGCTCTAGGAAAGTCAGTAACAGACATTTCCCCCTGCAGTTGCTCTTCTGTGTCCTGTTCTTCCTTTAGGCACTGAAGATGGTTCTGATCATGCTCATTGGCAAAGTAGATTGTAGCATCTAAACATTTTTATAGCAAAATATGTTGAAGAAATTACAGATGACTAATATGAAAAGTTGGTGGGCGTAGTATGGGTCTTCTAGTTTATGTTGGACTGTGTATCCTTTATCAATGTTCACTGTTGGTTCTGCTAGCAAAAGGTCATGGAAGCCCCAAGATCTGGAAGGCCCACATATTTTTCTCTCCTTCCTTGAAAAATGGCCTTGTAGTAGCATCTTCCCTCAAAGTTTGGCAAAGGTTTGGCAACACTTCAGAAGACTCTTTTGCTAAAGCCATCCACAGCTTCATTTCTGTTTATCCATTGTTCATGCCAGCTCCTGGAGAGGGCTTCAAGAACAAGCATGAAATGGCTGTCGAACTGGAATAGCAGTAAGAACTTGTGGAAACAGTAAAGATTCATCCAAACATAGGCTCAGCCGAATTAAAACTGTCTAGTTGTAGCCTCAGTTTGGATCAAAATAATATCTAGAACATGATTAACTGTGTAAAAAAGTGACACGAAAAGGACAACTGAATATCTGAAAGATAATAAAAACCACAGTATAACTGGAGGCCTGGTTGTCTTTCTTCAGGGGGAAGTCATGAGTGAGGAGAGCTGCCACTTACTAGGAACTCCTAGGACTAAAGTATCTGATAAGCCAAAATGGGGCTAAGGAATTAATCATTGGTGTAATATCTCTGCCTAATACCTTCTCATTCTCACTTGCTTCAGTCAGTAGCCATATAGGCTCTCTTGTTTTAGGTCTCTTGAGGCTCTCCTCTGGCATATTTATCCTTCATCTGTCTGCCTTTCGTTCCAGTTGTTCATTGTCTTTTTCTCCCAGTTCACACCACTCTTTTTTCACTTCTCACTCCTTACCTACTACAGGAGGAAGAATGGGCTTGTATGAACCCTTCACAGTAATTTGTGATGGATAGGACTTGTAGGAACCACAGTCCAACAAGTTCCCTTTTGGCTCCTTGGAAAGTTTTGTCTCACTTACTTTGGGCAGATCCTTCTGTTCCCCAGAGTTTCAACACTTCCGGCTATTTGCTTTAACTAGTGCTGTCCATGGATTACGTTTGCTGCTTTTTCACGGCACCAATAGCAAGGCACTTGGTTGCCAACTCAAGACTGGCTGGGGACTCATGAGACTGACATAAAGATGCCATAGGTCTCATAACACAAGAGTCTCCTGTGATATCTCAAGCCTCCCAGGAAAATATTAAAATGATTGCTAGCCATCACAAGATCAGTAGTGTTTACGATCGTAAAAAACCTTTTTATTCAGATATGCTTTTTAAAAAGACAGTTTTTAAGATTGTCAAGGGTTGCTGTGGTTTTCAGTTTGAATATATATTTATTGACTTTAACTCATATTTAAATACCAGTGTTATTTAATTCTGTTTTAATGTTTATATATTTGTAGATTTTAAATTGTACTGAAATGTTTTTAGCGTACGCCTCTTTGAGTCTCCTTATTATAAACTTAATAATAATGATAATAATAATAATGTAAGCACTCTGCTTATTGGCTGCTAGGGAAGAGGAAAAGTAGTTGCCAGCCATATTGATTATTAGACCCTTGCCATATTTGATGTTTTGCTTCATACAAATGCTTGTGGTTTGGGGGGGAAAGTAGTAGGTGCCTCCTCTCACATGATCAAGATATATGACTTTGTGGGCATCCTCTATGGCCCATTTGTTGATATTGTAATGCAGAAGTTCATTCTGACGTGTGGCAACTCTGTCATAGGGTTTTCCTGAAAAAATATTGGAAGAAGTTTCCCATTGCCTTCCTCTTAGGCTGAGAGAATGTAAATTGCTCATGGTCACCCAGCAGGTTTCCATGGCTTTGCCTGATTTGAAACCTAAAGTCCAATCCAACATTCAAATAATCACGGCATGCTGTCTTATATGGGATTGGAGTATAAGTTATCCCGGGCATGGGCAAACTTTGGCCCTCTGGAGTGTTTTGGACTTCAACTCCCACAACTCCTAACAGCCTACTGGCTGTTAGGAATTGTGGGAGTTGAAGTCCAAAATACCCAGAGGGCCAAAGTTTGCCCATGCCTGGGTTATCCTGTATAACATGTGATGGTACCTGGAAAAGGTATAATAAACACACAGTGACACTGTTCATCTGCTCGGCCAATAGATATTAGGCCTTTTAGCACCTATCAAATCCTTGGAGCATCTTGGTATGACTTTACAGTCTATTCCAGCCAGGACATGAAGATACTGAATAATATTCAAACAGTACAATTAGAACAAAATATACTTGATGTTAGCGGTCTTTTCGAGTTCAAGATGCCCCTGAAGGCCACTTGCTGCTGTGGAGTGGTGATGGTGGCAGCAGTGGCAGGTTACTGCCTTCCTTTTCTTCCTGATCATAGATTTATTGGAAGCAAATAACTTCTCCCAGGAGAATTGCACTGTTTCTTCTGCTGTGAGCTATAGAACGACTCCAAAGAAATATTAAGAAAGGGCAGCTTGACTTCCAGCAAAGGAACTTTGGCACTGTTAAGTTCCTTTGCTACCTCACTGCTACTTCAGATAGCTAGTTTTGTGCCACTTCTTTATTTTATTATATCCAAAGTTATCATTTTCTGCTTTTATAAAGGTCTTGTTGATGTAGATTTATGCCTCTAGTTCTGGGCCATTTGCCTTCTCCTTGGTCTAACATCTCTTGTTCTTCTTCACAGTGTGCCCAGCTGGCTGGCAACCAGGTGGTGATACCATCAAGCCCACCGTGAAAGACAGCAAGATGTTCTTTGCCAAGCAGCAGTAGAGTGCTTTGTATTGTGCTACTGAAGGAATCTGGTCCAATGTGAAGGGATTATTCACATAGAATCTTCCCCATATAGTTCTCTAGAAGAAAGATCACTCCGGAAGACCTGGGCTGCAAAAGTCTTGAACACTGTAGAACTCGCTCAAATGTAGGTTTGAGCAGGGCACCTGTTTGATTGCGTTTCAATAAAAGTGGAGATTGAAATAAACATGATAGTCCTTGTCTGATGTCTCTGGAACTCCTTAAGTTAAGTCAGAAATATTAATAGTAATAATAACAACAACAGTAACAACAACTTTATTTATACCCCGCCTCCATCTCCCCAAGGGGACTCGGGGCGGCTAACATGAGGCCAAGCCCAACAAACTACAACAAAGCAAAAAAAAAATACAACATAAAATCATAAGATAATACATCAAATAAAATACAATAAAATAAATCAAAAGAAGATAATACAAAATAAACACAAAGTATAACAAAAATAACAAAACATTGAACCAAGCGGGCAGGGCCAAATACAACAGATAGGATTTTTAAAACTGGTGAGATGGATGAGTAATGTATCTAATGGGAGGTTCGGATGGGACAAACAATGGGATTTAATTCATTGAAGGGTAAGATAAAGTCCATCGAAAGACATTATGTATTGAACTGGTCAAGGTAAGGGACTTGTGATGAAAAGGAGGCAGTGGTAGAACATGGGTAAGCATCTATGTCCTTGCCAGTTGATGGGCTCCAGTTCATTGAGACAGTTAGTGAGGTTGGGTATCCCTTTTCTGAAATGCCTGGGACCAGAAGTGTTTTGGGGTTGGTTTTTTTTCAGATTTTGGGAAAAAAAATTAAAGGATAGAGAGGTTTTTATCTTTTTTTCCCCCCAAGAAGTTATGTTTGGATCTGCGAAATGCATATTTAATTGTCTTATTAATACTCCTAGCACGAAGGGTTCTGTGCTTCTTTCTCTGGTCCTGTCTCATGTTTTTTGATCTGTGTGCAATTTTGTTTGAAGGAATCCCACTATTTGGCCAGGAAGCAGTGGCAGATGCTGCAACCCAAGGTGCTCATCTCTGGGTGCTGCAGGACTGGAAAATTATTTATTTATTTGCCATATTTATATCCAGCAAATAAAAAAAGCATATACATTAAAAGCAGGGCTGCTTACCATTGAAAAGGAAATTACAAAGTGCCATACAGGCAGCAGAGGGGGAGGTGGTAGCTGGGAGACTCAGTAGCCCCTACTCTAGAAACCTTTTAAAAGAACCTCAAAACCTGGCTCTTCCTCTGCGCCTTTGATGAGTAGGTACATAACCTCACACTATCACTCAGCCTCAACATTTCTGTCATTGGAGTACACACACCCCACACCTCGTGGGAAGGCGTGGTTCCAAAACCCTGTTTTTTAATTGAGCTCCCCTTGCAAATAACCTGCTCCTCCTTTTATCTCACCCAAGTTTTTAATTATTTTTAATCATTTTATTCTGCACATGTGGCCTGTCCATTGTCACTGTGATTGTGATTTTATATTGCTAATGTATTTATATGTTTTTATTATGTAATTATGATGTTGCTTGTTTGTGTTCTTGGTTTTACTTTGTTGTAATTTGTTGTTTGTTGTTCTTGAGGAAAGAGAAGTAAACACACTTTAAAGATATGTTGGTAGAAGGAAAAATGAAATACCGTCTATAGTTAGACAATATAGATTCTCTTTTTAATTTTTTTTATTAAAAATTTAAAAAATGCAACTCAAATCCAACTCAAATTGATAAAAATAAATAAATCACATACACTAAAATAGAACACAAAACAAATGCAAAACCCCCATAATATTCCCTCCCCATAATTTCCCCACTCCTGCCAACAACAATGGATTCTTGAAGGCTTTCTTCAGAAATCTTGGATTTATTGGCAACTGAAATTTTTCCCTTCCTAGATGTAGTCAAGCTACAGACTAACATGCCTGGATCAAGTCTCAGTAACTCAAGCTTTCTGTGACTCTAGTTCCAAATACTGTATTTGAACTTCATTTGGAAGCTTGTACTCCAATTATGGGTTTAATGCAAGAGCAAAAAACTTCAGTAGCACAAAATAATCATGCCTTAGCCAACATGTTGAGTTATCTTCCCCACTGCAACTGAAGAACGGGGAATGTAACAGTGGACAGGAAAAGAGATTTAAAGATGGGCTTAAAGCCAACCTTAAAAACTGTGACATAGACACCAAGAACGGGGAAGCCCTGGCCCTTGAGTGCTTTAACTGGAGGGCAGCTGTGACCAGCAGTGCTGCAGAATTAGAAGAGGCACGAATGGAGGGCGAAAGGTAGAAATGTGCCAAGAGGAAGGTGCATCAAGCCAATCCTGACCAGGATGGCCTTCCACCTTGAAACCAATGTTCTCACTGAGGGAATAGGGCTCCACAGCCACCTATGAACCCACCACCAAGACACCAGACTATCCTCCTCAGGCTACGAGGGATTGCTTAAGGACTGCGATGTGCAAGTGTGCAAATCCTAAAGCACCTGGATTTTCAATTTATAATCCTGTGTTTTGTGCTCTGGAGTTGGCCTAATAACAGTATTGCTGATTGTTAATTTTGTATTTTGCTACATGCTATGCTTGAATATATAATACTGTGGTGTGTGTTTGGGCACTAGAAGGCGCTATAGCTTCACTGAACAACACCTGAATCGAAAGATGTGCTTTGTTTACATGAAAACAAAGTAGTAACTATGCTGAACCATACTTTGGCACACTGGGTCCGACCCTTTTTTTCTTGTCTGCTAGTATTAACATGAAAAATATGTATGGAGAGAAAATACTCTATAATCTGTTGATCTACGTGGTGAATGTAGAACTAAAAGTAATGTTCAATACAGTAAAGCTGCCATCCCAAACTTGGCAGGATATTGTCTACAGCAGAATTTGTCAGCACTTGTTTAGCATCTAGAAATGCACTGCTGCCTTCTGCCAAGTTGGGCCTCGGCTAGTTTTGACAGTTTCCTGCAGAACAAGGGCTCCACCTCTCCACTGCATTGGAATTGGCACCAAGCTGTGTCTTCTGCTGCCTTAACTGCAGCTGTTTCACTCTTGGCTGAGTGTGAAATACTGGAATATTCCTGTCCAAAGTGCTTTGTAGCCCTCCTACATCAGGAAAAGGGCATTACTATATCTGTGGTGGTGCAGCGGGTTAAACTGCAGAACTTGCTGACCGAAAGGTCAGTGGTTCAAATCCACAGAGTGGGGTGAACTCCCGTTGTTAGCCCCAGCTTCTGTCAACCTAGCAGTTCAAAAATATGCAAATGTGAGTAGATCAATAGGTGCTCTTCCGGTGGGAAGGTACGGCACTCCATGCAGTCATGCTGGCCATATGACCTAGGAGATTCCTTTGGACAACACCAGCTCTTTGAATAGAAATAGAGATGAGCACCACCCTACAGAGTCAGAACCGACTAGACTTAGTGTCAAGGGAAACCTTTACATTTACTATATCCTTGTATCCTGCAAAACCTGGCTAGAATAAAAATATGGAACTAGGAAATTTAGGCAGAATGAGTAGTGAGCTCCTCCTCCTCCTCCCTCTCCTATAAATTATACCACAGGGGTTTTCTCTCTGGACTCTGACTGCAGAGAAAGCTCTGTGTCTCATACTTGCAATGTTCTCCTTTAGTTAATATCTCTTCAACCCCCGACTCATCTCTTCAATTGACAGCAAGTTGTCTCTACATTGTCGGGTGTCCACCTCCTAGTTCCACCTCTACTTACTCATCTGAGCTACAATCCATGTCACCATCCCCAAAAAGATCATAAAAACAGCTTGGGATGCTCAGAGTACAAGAAAATGGGTTATGTAGTTAGATTCCTAATCCATCCAGTTCACCACTGGCTATAACAGAAGAAGGTGTGGCACCTGCTGAATTTTATAGGAGTTGTAATCTAAAACATCTGGAGGACACTGGTTTACCTATAGTTGGTCTATAGCAGTGTTTCTCAGCCTGTGGTCTGTGGACCACCAGTGGTCCGCAAGAACGAAAATATGGTCCGCAGCCTCACCATTACTACAACGTTGCCTCAAAACAACATGGCAATGAGAGCAACTGGTCTCGCAAAAGTCTCTTATAGTGCCGAGGCAACGGGGATGTCGGGAGGGGAGAGGCTGACTACTCATGAAATATTACTACTACCACTTCAGCTCTAGATTATGAAACTTTTAATGTGAATATAAGTGATCTTAATGTTTGTATATATTTATGGTTTTATGTCCCGGCATTGAATGTTTGCCATATATATGTTGTGCTCTGCCTTGAGTCCCCTGCGGGGTGAGAAGGGCAGAATGTAAATGTTTTAAATAAATAAATAAATAAATAAATAAATAAATAAATATGGTTTTCTGTGGGTGAGCAGATGGCTACTACTGGATGGCATATGTTCTGTATCAGAAACTAGAGCTGATATGGTCTATCCAATGCAATTTTCTGAATCAACAGCCCAAATAACCAAACTGAATCAAAAGTTGACCAAAAAATTATTTGTAACCCTTTTGGTACTAATGTTGGAGAGTGGTCCCTGGTCAAAGGGGTCCCTGATTTAAAAAAGGTTGGGAACCAGTGGTGTAGTCAAGTGGTTCTTTTGACTCCCAGAGAGGTACCTGGGAGTGCCAGTAATTGAGCCTGAATCCTCTTGTATACAAAGCATATGCTGTATACATATACAGCGCTCCATGCAGTCACGCCGATCACATGACCTTGGAGGTGTCTATGGACAATGCTAACTCTTCTGATTAGAAATGGAGATGAGCACCAACCCCCAGAGTGAGACATGACAGGACTTAATGTCAGGGGAAAACCTTGTCCTTTACCTATGCTGTTTCATTCAGCTACAGCCCTTGGAGTATAACCTGAAACATTTGAATAATGGATGACGTTGATGGTGACAACTAAAAACCGAATCTTGCTGTCCTTTGTACATTTTTCTACTCACAGCCCTGTTGTCTGTTCTTCTTATTCTCTTTGAAGAACAGCTGGCCTTTGCTTCTGAATATCTGGCATGGAGATCAGCAGGAACAGGATGCTGCTATAGTTTGAAAGCCAATGTGTCAGCTGACAATTGTGCCAGTAGAGAGCATCATTTGATTGCTCTGGAGCTGAGACAACATTCAGTCTTCATATTCAAAAGAGAATGAATACTTGCTGTGGCACATGGAAAGGGTTAACCGTTC